TATTTTATTTAGAAAAGCTAAACAGATCGAGCACATGGCTATTTTAATAAGAATGGACGTACTAGACTAGAAAATTCAATAATGTCAAAGCATCTTGTTTAAATTGAGTTGCGACAAATTATTATTTGTATAAGCGCGTAGTAACCTCAAGTATTACTAATTACATTACCTCTGCTAATAACTATCAATATTTGCTGATTCATCATATAGAGAATATTAATTCCCAAGAAAATTGTCAATTTCAAACGTAACATATTTATAAAAGTGAACATTAGTATGTAGATAGAACTCCGTATCTTTAAGTTTTTTTTTCTATTCCTATCATAAGCAAGGCAAACATTATTTTTTATTACTTTTTTCAAAAGTTGCTTTTTTGCCATGGACCTTCAATATAAATGAGTTCATATGGCACACTAAGAAGATTTCGTTTCCCTGTTGAGCTTAGACGTTGATAATGGTTTTCTTTTTGATCAAATTTCCCACCATATTATTGTTATTGTGTGAACAAGGAAAACATCAATTGTTTACAATTGAACTCAACGAAAACTCAATTAAAATATTGGCTTGCTAAGGATTATGTTCAAATGATATTTTCTATCTAAAATAAGCAGCAACGGAATAAACTAGATCATTGAATGAAGAAATTATTTATTTTCATAAAATTTTATCAATAGACAATAGATAATGGTTGATCTCTTATCATAACCCCTAGTCGAATTTTCTTCAAGTAATATAGTTCTCTTATCTTCATTCTCTATTGTCTTTATTTGTTAAATAAACTTGTAGAATAAATAGCAATTAATTGTGCGATAAAGAAAACTGCGAAGATATTGCCAGTCTTTTGTTTTAATTTATAACTGGAAACGTATAGTAGTTACATTTTAATAAATCATTTCTGAATCTTATGATAAACTAGATGATAAACGTATTTGTTTTTATTGTTAGTTAGGGTTTTTTGTTGTGTCTTATGAATAATGAATTTTTTAATACTCTATATGAATGTAGCTTCGCTTTCTGCGTATACAGTATCTAGGATTGTTTATGATTAAAGCTAAATAAAAAGAGACGTAGAAAATATTTTATGAGTGATAACAAGATACTTTAGTAATTCATGTTTAATCGTGTCGAAACTACTAAAAGTCAGTATTTTCATATGATAATAGACATTGAAAGTCGCTTCTACACATAGACTACGAATCATATATATATATATATATAATATGATCTCAAGCATACAGAAATAAAAGTAGCGTGAAAAAATCGTACAGGAATTCACTGACTTCATAATAAAATTAGTCGTCAACTATAATAAATCAAAATGAAAATTCACATGTACATGTGAAGTATTGCTTCTTATACGGTTTCTTGTAATTTATATTTAAGTATATCAAAATAGAATAGTATCAAGAAAATCATAAATTAATTTTATCATAATGTATTTGCTGATGATTAAGAGAGATTAAGAAATTCTATATTGTTGTCAGAGCTATAAGTATACACGAAAATCTATTTTATACGGAATATATCTGTACCGAGATTATCATGCTTTATGAGTCCTGATGTAAAAAGATTTAAAATATAGAACAACATATATTTTTCAGATTTTTATTAAAGATTATATTTTCTTGACAGCTTTATTCATGAACCATGAGAGTAATTTAAGAAAATTTCAACAGTAGACATTCAAAAGTAGATTATTAGAAAGCAGTCATGTAGTTTGTTCATGATATGTTAGAAAACTTCAACTCTAGATTACGAATTCTTGAACTAGCAACATATCGTGATTATTAAATGCATATATATATATCTATATATATTCATGCATGGACCCACCAACATAAAGATGACACTAAATTACTTCATGGTTCTTGTGACCAAATTCAATTAAGTAGGACTGATAAACTCTTTAAATACCTTGCTGTTATTCAGTTCATTTCAATTTATGAATAGAATCTGATATTTTAAATCTTTTGATGATATCCCAGGTCGAACTTGTACGGCGGGAAACGGCCGGAAAATACCGGAAATCACCGGAAATCACTGAAACGTGGAAGCAATATTTCGATCGGAAATATGCGCACAACTCAATTTTAACTTTATTTTTCATATGATTCCTGATCTTCTCCTATTAATAGCAGGTTATGTGTATACAAATATACATTCGTATATGTTTTAACCAAAGGTTGAATCGTATTTCCACATTTTATATGTCAGACAGGAGAAAGTGCATTTTTGTTTAAAAAGATTGATAAATATAACTAAAAAGGTGTTTTTCTTGCTCAGACCTTTTGGCTGTAAAAACTCAAATAGACATAGAACTGTTTCTTTTTTCAGTTTCATAGGCCATCGAGCGCTTTTTACTGTAATATGAAAGATTTCTCAAATTTGACAATCATTCTGTTCGAGAAATAACGCCATTTCTGAATTTAAAATTAAAAAACTTGGTAGTTTTCAGCTACAGTTGTGATTAATTTTAGAATTTTCCATTGCTTCTTGTAATAAAATCATTGTCAAATTTGAGAAATTTTTCGTATTGCAACAGAAATGACTCGATAATATATGAAATTTTGAAAAAAAAATCTGACCTATATCTATTTTAGGTTTAAAGCCAAAATGTCTGAGAAAGCATAACGCATTTTAAGCTGTTCTTTAAAGATAAACATTTTTAAATAAGAATGAATTTTCTCGGGTTTGGCATGCGAAATGAGGAAATATGATGTAAGCTTCGGATAAAGCGCACCGGGATGTATATCTGTATACACATAAAGTGCTGCTAATAAGAAAAGATGATGATGCATAGGGAAAAAAACTAAAATTACTTAGTTCATATGTTTTGGTTACTTATGGATACGATTTGTGTATGTTGCATTTTTTCGTACGAGAAGAGACTAATATATGGTTTTGCTCAAGTAAAACTTAAGGAGTACCCACGAGCTTTTCTTGGAGTAATTTTCTCTTCAAATCAAAAGTTTTTTGTGCCATATCACGTTCTTTTCTTTCCAATATTACCAACTGAATGAGTTCATTATGAATGAAGAAAGATTATGCGATCGATTCAGGCAAAAAAATCGTAGTAGTTTTCTGAAACGTTCTCGAAAGATTTATTTAGTATATTCATAAAACTATACTAATACCAGTGCGACCCAAGTATCACTTTTTTCCCTTGATACATATGTTGATATCATTTCGATAGGTCTCGAAGTAGTGCGTTAATTGATCAAATCATTTCAATAGAAGCTTACTGCTTTTATTTAAATTAAACGGCAGAACATATCTTGCATGTATTGCTGAAGACGAACTGAATACGAATGTTCTTTGTTTACTTTTTTAAAATTTGAAGTACTCATAATAGAAAGAAGTACTTGTAGAAAATAAGCTTGTCTAAAAAGAAATATTTTATTTCAAAGAGGTGTTTAATTGATACAGCATTTATATTGAAGATGTGTCTCGTTACTTTTTTCTAACTCATAGACAGGATTTTGAACCTCCACTAGTTGAATAAAATCTGTTTAGAAAGAAAGAAAGAAAGAAAATATTTTGCATTATTTCTTTTTCATTTGATAAATTGGTTAGTGCGTACTATGTCTAGTTATTTGGGAAAAATCTGTACAATTAGGGTTTAGAATGTTTAGAATACATGTTTCTACATTGATCATTAATATTCGATAAATATATGTACTATTTTTAATATGTATTTTTCTTATTCCGCGATAAAAATTTACGCGACTTTTTTCTTTTACATACATTGCAGCTTGAGGTCGATGGTATTCATCCCAGGGGGCATGCTTTTTTGCAATTTTTAATACTAATTTGTCGCAGCACAACTATAGCGTGATCAAGAGAAATAAATATGCAATCTTTAGGAATCTCTAGCTAATACGATAATCTTTCTACGGCAACATTTTGAGTTATTGACTATCGTAGTAAATAACTGAATTCGATTTTTTTTGTTGTATTACGAAGAACTACACAACAAAGAGTTCTTAGAAGAAAAGGAAAATGTCATCCAAGAACATTTTCTCTCTTTTCTCTCTCTCTCCTGTCTTTCTTCCGTTTCAGTTCGTTTCATCTTTTGATTGTCATTAGTACGACTATTGGAGCAAAGTTCCTCAAAGGTGCTAGGTAAGATTCATTTGTCTATTAAATGAAACCTTTTATAGCAAAACCAAATCCTAAAGTTTTCATTCGTTCTTCAAAACTTTACCTGAAGAAATTTTATATTTTACGATTAAAAATGATTGAAGTGCGTGCAGCGTAAGATTAGATTAGTTTAATAGAGAAGAAACCTTCTTTTTCTAATGAATTTATTGATTAAGCGCTCTATTTCTTAAAATAAACATAGCTTAGAGAACGAGGAAAAAAGCTTCGACTAATTGAAAATTTATTCTTATTTTGCATCTACGCCATTAATATCAGAATGAATAACATCGAGAAAGTTTTCGAGAATTTTAAATTTTATGCTCGCTATTTTTTAATAAACAATAGTAGGGCTAAGTAAGAGAACATCTTATAAATAACTATTTTTATTCAGTTCACGAAATTCTACATTGTCTTAGAATATATTTTTGAATCAGAATATTGATTTATACAGTTAAAGATGAAGTTAGTTTAGTAGAAATTAGTGGTCGAAAAAATGTTTCATTTGTTCAATACTTGTTTAATTATGGAATAGATAACTGTTTATGTTTTGTATGATCATTTGTTGAGAAAGCTAGATAGTAAATAGAATTGAAATAAGGAAAAAGAATATTTTCTGCTCGTATTTAAAAATGTGATCACAACATTTGCGATCTAAAAAAGTCACAATTCCAGTGTCTCCTAAAGCACGTTGCGTGGGTCATATTGTTGTTATAGCAAATGGATAATAGCTCTATAATAGAAAATATTATTACTTATGATTTTTCTCTTTGCATGCCCTGCACGGTTTGAAACAATTGTGTAGCAAATAGAAAACAATAAAATAAAATAAGTCAATTTTTATTGTTTTCTAGCAACAAATAATGATGCACTCTGATAATATATTAGCGTCGTCATCGATGCCATCACAATCAAATTTAACAAATGATGGAACATCAGCGATATTTGACAACAATACAGTGTGTGCAGGTAAATAAAAGAAAATTTAATAGAAAAGATAATATCAAAAGTATACTTTAGATCAACTAGTTGGTGAATTACTAGAGGGCTTATCGGGTAGATTGATGTGGGGTATTATTCAACTGATTCTAATGTTTTTAGGGAATATTGGTAAGTGAATGACAGAAAATATTGCGTAACAAGTCAAGTTTTTACAAATTCCATTCTGTTTATAGGAAATATCCTCACATTAATAGTTTTGAATCGCCGTTTAATGCGAAAAGGAGGAATAAATAATTTACTACAAGGTCTTGCCATCAGCGATATTGTTGCTCCTACTCTCGCTTGTATTCCGCATATCATGTATTATTATGGTCCAAAGAATCATAACAAATTAATAAATTTTGTCAACGCATTTTTTATGCCTGTCGCAACAGGAGCTACGTTTTGTTCGAATTGGATCGGTAATATTTATCTTAGTTGTTTCTCTAGAACATGTTTGTGTTTTAATGAATTTTTATCTTTTAGTTGTGACAATAACTTGTTTTCGTTTGATGATTGTTGTAAAACCACTTTATTCACAAGTTTATTGTTCCAGTCGTAATGAAAGAAAAGCTTTAATAACAATATTTTTAGTTAGTGTCCTATCTATAATACCATATTATTATTATCATTTTGATACAGATGCTCTAAATGTTGTAAAAGCTGTATCAGCTTTACTATCTTTATTATGCCCATGGGTAATATGTGTATTTCTGTGGATATTACTCATACGGATTGTTAACCGTGAAATCGGTGCAAAAAAATCGCAAGAATTCATCTTACATTCAGAAATAATTGCGCAACGTTTAAAATCAAAATCTAAAATAACTAAAATGGTCCTAATTATATGCTTTTTTAACATAATATGCCAATTGCCCGTCCTTATTCTAACAATATTCGGCCTAATTGATGTTAACCCATGTGGACAAATACGTGCATTGATTTATGTTTGCCTCCTTTTTGTATCAAATTTACTATTAATTGTGAATCATTCAATTAATTTTTTTATTTATTCTTTAACTAATTGTAAATTTCGTTATACATTACAAGTTATGTGCCGACATTGCTGTGTTTTTCATGATCCTGTACATAGTCGAATAACGACTCAACGACAAATAATGGCATTTGATGATCAACGAAAACTAGCTGTTCAAAAATCGACAAAAACAAAATATGACTGTAATTCCTGTTCAAATTCTAAAAGTCGAGAAAGTCCACATTTAATGGTAACAATGCCTACCGCAAATATGTCTAGATGTAACAAGAAGAACAATCCATCAGCACGTGTCGCTTTGTAGTGAAGACATTTTCTTTTGTGTTCTTTTTGTTTTGTTTTGTTTTGTCTGCTTTGAAAAAGATAATCACATATCAACATAATTTATTTCTCATTGATAGATATTCTTACAGAGCTTCATGGAAGTTTTCTTTGAATGAAATATGTTCGATATATTGGGAAAGATCGAAAGAAAATATAATTATCCGACAATAAGATGATTCTCTGGAATGATGAAAATAATTCTTTTTTAATGAAAAGTGTTGATTTCTTTTGTGAAACCTGCATAAAAATCACACTTCTGAAGAATATACTATATTATTCTCTTTGAAAGTTATAATACAAACTTTCTTATGTACATTTATTTTTCTATAATCTTTCTGTATAAATTAATTAAAAAACAAAACATGCTAAACAGCAAACAACAATGCTTCGAGGGAGACTTTAAATGCAACATAACATTTAGAAAGAATAAATCCGGCGATCTCATTTCCTAATGTGATAAGCTGTCTTGTATAGCTGATAAAAACACTTTTATCTTAACACAAGTACACATCGTTGAAGCTAAGATATTAATAGCTACATTATGGAGTAGAACTATCAAAAGAGTGACATAATGACCTTTGATACTAGATCATACGGAAATTGATATTTGGATTTAATGGATTTGTGCTGCTATCGAAATGGAAATTTAATTATCTTATTTTGTAAGAAAATCCTCTCATTCACTTGATAATAAAAACTATTTATGATTGAAATATAATTAATACAAGTAGGAAAAACACATGTGGGTCAGTTTTGATGTTTTTTTATCGTTAGATTTTTTTCATTTAAAATTTTCTTGCTATATTCATCATTTTTTTGCTTTAGGCTATTTTGAATACAAAGTAATTATTACTTCGCAATAAATCAAAAGCAGGTCCATTGAATGCCGATAGTTTCATCTGGTCGATTGTTACAAATGTCACTTTGATTAAAAATGATAAAAAGATATATATATATATTTTTTTTAAGGCCCCCGCCCCCTCAAAAAAAGTCGATTTTTGTCAAAAATTGAAAATTGAGATAACACCATGGGGTGATAGCCCATATTCTGCTCTTTCAGAATCACTATAGATTTTTTTCCAAAGACCATTTTTTGACCGAAATTTTTAGTGATCTTTGAGAGGTCCTCTATGTCAAAAACGGCAGTACAATTAGGTCGTGGATCTCTAATGACTGATTAATTAATTAGTTAATTAATTAAGCGCTCAGCGTGTGCAGAATTAAAAGTTACGTACGAAAGTTAGGTCAGTTTCCTCAAAAAACGCGTGAAAATTGCAGAAAATTTAAAAAAACAGCAAAAACTTCGAAAAAATATTTTTATGTTTTTCTCAAAATCATGTTTTTCCATTTTCCATCCAATTTCTCATGCCTTCAACTGTGTTTTTTCGAATTTTTCTTTTTACCATTCGATAGAGCATGCAAAGACGCAGGGCATGACGTGCTCTGATTTTTGAAAAAGTTTTTTTTATGCCCAAAAGCGATCGCCTACAAAATTTACTTGCAGTTTTGTTAGGCGTTTTTCAAGGAATTTGAATTCTGGAAACTTTTTCGGCTTACAGAGAGGACTTTTTAAAAATTCGAGCACTGCATGCTCTATCGAATGGTAAAAAAACAATTTTTGAAAAAGTATAGTTGAAGGCATGATAAATTGGATGGAAAATGGGCCATTTTTAACCAGTGTTCACTTTATAACTCCCTTAAACTTGCATATTTCGGGTTGAGATTTTTATCGTAGACTACCCACTATAGTCCCAACATATGCTGAAAATTTCAGCCGATTTGGACTTTCTTTGGAGAAAATCGACCTTTCAGGGGNCCCTTGGTGTTATCTCAATTTTCAATTTTTGACAAAAATCGACTTTTTTTGAGGGGGCGGGGGAGGTCTTAATAGATCAAAATCATTGAAGGAAGTTATTTCTCTGGATACGCTAGCTATAATGCTGTTAAAATTCAGAAAACGGCATAGTTTAATATCACGAAAGATCAGAAGAAGAAAAATGTGCTAACATGAACCAAAACGTTTTTGTATTCATTATAAAAGCAGAAAAGTTCATTATTCTAATACAGTAAGCTAAAGTGCCAGACCACTATCTAATTATATTAACGATAAAAAAAAATCCAAGGAAAAATAAATCACGCATCAATCATAACTATTGAAAATCAGAAATATGAAAGAATCACAGTCAAATCGCCATATCATTTTAAATTTCATCATAGCCAGGCATTGGAAATTTTTCAGCAAATGATTCAATGGAATGTTGTAAGTTTTGCATAGCTTTCAAATGTTCATCAAGTTTCATATTTTCTTTAAAATCTTTTAATGTTACTTGTGAAGGTTTTTTATCGCCATGAGATTTATTAATTGTAACAGCCAATTTTATCGCCTCATCAATATAATTAGCAACCTGAACTATATCATTTTCACCAAAACCACGAGTAGTTAATGCAGGTGTACCTTTAGTATAAAGAAAAAGTAATATGTTTTTATCCGATTTCTTCTATGCTTTTCTTTTCTTTACCGAATCGAATTCCAGAAGGTTTAAGGGCAGATGTATCTCCTGGACATGTATTTTTGTTTACAGCAATAGAGACAGCTTCGAGTACTTTCTCTGCTTTTGCACCATCAAGTCCAATGGGACGTAAATCAAGTAAAGCTAGATGTGTGTCAGTACCACCTAAACGACAAATAAAGCAAAATTATCCGTTTTAATTTTGCTTGATTCTATTTTTATGATATATATATATATACCTGAAACAAATGTATATCCTTTTTCTTGAAGTGATTTAACTAGTTGTTTAGCATTATTTATAACTTGTTTTGCATAAGTTTTAAACTCATCTGAAGCAGCTTCTTTTAAAGCAACAGCAAGAGCACCAATCGTATTATTATGTGGTCCACCTTGTAAACCAGGAAAAACAGCTTCATTTATTTTTCTTTCATAATCGTATGTTTCGACTTGTTGTTCTTTTGCTCCTGTTTTTGTTGTTTGCGTCTTTTTTATTCCACGTCGAAAAAAAATTAATGCCGCACGTGGTCCACGTAAACTTTTATGTGTTGTTGTTGTAACTATGTCAGCATATTTGAAAGGATCAGCAACAATTTTAGCTACAACCAAACCACTAACGTGTGCCATATCGGCAAGAAGTATTGCACCAACTTCATCACAAATTGCGCGAAATTTATGATACTCAAGATTACGTGAATAACACGATATACCAGCGACAATCATTTTTGGACGAAATAGTTTTGATGTTTTAGAAAGAGATTCATAATCAATGAGGCCAGTTTTTGGATCAACTTTATATGGCATTGATTCAAAAAATGCACTTGTAGCTGAGATTTTTTTTGTTGGTGTTGCATAACCATGACTTAAATGACCACCATCAGGTAAATCTAAACCCATCAAACGTCCATGTGTTCCAAGAAGTGCAGTATAAACAGCAAAATTAGCTGGTACACCTGAAAATGTTTGAACATTAACACCCCATTCGCTTTCATTCAAGCCGTATGCTGCAAGAGCTCGTTTTTGTGCTAAAATCTCAATTTGATCAATATATTCATTACCACCATAATATCGAGCACCTGGATAACCCTAAGTAGAATAGAATGAAATAAAATGAAATTGATCCCTTATTCTATTTCTATGAAGTAAAAAATGTGGAAACTTCGGATTTCATCCGAGAGTTATGTGTACTGCAAAAAGTGCATGGGACATATGAGTCATACTAGAATGTCTGAACACCAAAATTATCATGAGAAACTAGGCAGTTTGATTTTTAGGTGTAGTTTTTGTGCATTTTGAGACGTTTTTCAGGCGATGTTTCGTTAGAAAGCTACGATTTAGTTCAAAACTAATATCAGATTCGGAATCAGCGTTAAAAACTGAGTCGATTTATATATGTTGCGGATAATTCTGAGTAAAAAGTTTTTTTTGAAAAATCCCTGTACCCCTCCTCAGGGATGGTCTGATCAAAAATGACAACTCTTTCGATAACTCAGCCATTTCTTGACGGATCCTTCTCATCTTCGAACTCGACCGAGATATTGATGAGATCATTCTGTGTACAAAATTTCAGCTCAATCGAATGTAGTTGTGAAGAGTTGTCGAATAAACGGACGGACGGACACACTGACCGATTCTATAGTGTACTCTTTTTTTTTGAGTACACAAAAACATGATCTAAGATAAATTGTTTAATTACTTCAGAATACTTATTTGTTAAACATGATCCAAGTGTTTCAAGAACACTACGTGATGTGAAATTTTCCGATGCAATCATTTCTAACCCACGCTTTTGTCGACTTTTTTCTTTTTGTATTAATCCATACATTTCTGGATCACTATCACGCAAGGTTTCTCGACCGGTCCATACTAATCGTCTGCTATTGATCTGTTGAGCCTTAGAAATTAATAAATAAATGATAATTATTTCTTTGTTGGTGTTTACTTTTAACATTTTCTTACTTGTTTTATAGAATAAAACAATGATCTTTGAAATAAACTTTTCATCTTTATTTTATCGGAAGATAAACTATATTAATAAATAAAAAGAAATAAAATGAAAATAATTTTCTTGTCTGAAATTTTATTTTAGCAAATATCCGTAGCTCTCGAATCGGACTAATCACAAATAGAGAAGTAATGACAACAAAAATAGACAGAAAGAAAAAAAATTTACATTTTGTAATGGGGCTCTTTTTTTTCTCATACACATCAAGAGGTACTACTGTTCGATAACGTTGTTTCGGTGTTGATTGATAAGGATGAAGCAGCTGTAGCTGTGTCGATAGATGATGCCTCGGGCTTAACTTTTGTTGGCTCTCGTTGATCCCATCTAAATAAAAGTAAAAATAAAATACAAATCATGAATACCTTCTATTTTTCCAGAAGTGTGAAAAACTATTACTAAAATTAACACTCTCAGATAGGTTTATATCACTTTCAGATAACTAATTAATGAGGTTTATGAAACTAGAAAACATAAAATTTTTTCTTGATATTGCATTTGGAGATATAAAAAAAATCGATTAGTTTATGATGCATAATGATTACCATTTGATAATTATCATAATAATTCATATATGAATGCATTGCAAACAAAACCAACACAATTTGCCTTTTCTTATTATCCAATCAGTTTTTAGTTAAAAGTCAACGTCGAAGATAGTAGACTACATGATAGCTTATGTTTTTTTTTAAACTCACTTCGATGATTGTGCATTATTTTTACGTTGATTTCGTTGTTGCTCCTCATCGTTATTTGTAACTTTTTTCTTTTTTTTTCTATCATGTGGTGACGAGGAAGATATTGATGATGATGACGACGATGATACTGATGATGACCTTGATCGTGATAAGGAATTTGATGATGTAGATGAAGCTGATGAATGCCGATGACGACGATGGCGATGACGACGATGATTTCGACTAGATTTTGATGATTTTGAACTTAAAATAATTTAGAAAAAAAACATCAAATCAATAAAATTCTTTTTTGTTAGAAAAAATAAGATAAAAAAACAAAGCTAACAAGATCCAACTTACGATACTTGTCTGTAAGAAAAGATGATAGACGAATTTGGATGCCAATCTTATACGATCAATCTAGAGTCTAGTGTATTACTAATGGTTTTTTTTTAATAGGGATATACTTAGTTAAATATTAAAAATTTCAATAATTAAAAAAGATTTTGTTTCGAAAAAAAAATTTAATTATGACTTACTTTTTCGATTGTTTTGAACGATGATGACTTCGAGATTTAGAACGTGAACGTGATCTTCTAATATACAAGAAAATGATGAAAACGAAAAAAAAAATATTTAATGATAAAATTTACTTATGAGATGATCGTCTACGTCGTCGGTGATTACTTTTTGATCGTGACCGCCGATGATATTTTGAACGATTACAAGATTTCGATGGTGATCTAGAATGTTTTGATCGCCGATGTTGATGTGAAGATGCTAATATCGATGATGTTGAACGTTCATTTTTAACATTAAGTAATTTTTCAACAATTGTTGGATTTATATTTGAATTCGTTGTTGATGATTCTATTGAATTTATTACTGATGTTGATTCATTTACTTTCGTTTTCAATTGCTGTACAAGCATTTCAGCTTTTCGTTTACGTTCTTCTTGCTTATCACGTGTAATTTTGTCACGTACAAAACCACTAACACGGTCTCGACGTTGTTCTTGTTTACGCATTTTTTCAAGAAATTCAGGCGAAGGAGGCCGAGGACCAATAAATTGATTAAAGTCTTCTTGTTTGTCTAAATATTCTAATGTATTATTAATATATATTTGTTTTGAAGCAATCGAATGAACACTCTACTAAATAATTGTCAAGTGAAATTACTTGTATAATATTATGAAAGCTGAAATCCTCCTTTCTAGATGACTTCGGTTCAAAAAATGCTCGTAGGAAAAGTAAGAATTACGCAGTATTGGTTTTAGTGTTTTATTTTTAGCAATGACCAAAAGTTATGTTTTCATACAATTTTCATCGTTAAGAAAAATACTGCACAATTTGCGAGTAACCACCAGTTTAGTCTTCGGAAGTACAGAACGATTAGTGATTTATTAAAAAAGACAAGACAGATCGAAAACTAATTGATTCGAGCACTAAATGTAACGATTTCTAGTTCACAAAATTCTAGTTCTTGAACTTTATCAAAAGTTCAAATTATGAATAGATGAAATGTAAATCTTTCATGAAAATAGTATCAGAATGCAATGATAATATTTTTAAGTAGAAGATAATTTAGTGAACTTATTAGAAAGCTTTCGGTAATAACCAACAGTGATTTGTGAAAGTTATCATGTATGTAAATAATACTCAAATAATTTATCGTGGTGCCCATATTTTGCACATCTAATAAATTTGTTCTTTGTAAAACGATAACCACAATGTGAATGAGAGTGATTAAAATATGAATCTTTCTATAAGATGAGACTTACATTCTATATTTAACGCAAACTTAATGTATGTTTAAGTCCAGTTAGAAAAATAGAAGTTTTGTTTTTGTATAGAAAGCTTTATACTGTATTTACACATTATTGACCAGTACATATTTTATTTCGCTAGACAAGATAAATATAATTCTTCCGTTGCAAGCAACTATAAAAGTAATAGTGAATGAAAAATAAATTCATTCTCAAGGAATGGAAGCATCACGATGTAAACTGTACATGGCGTATGAGTGCTGTTCTATAAATAATGTTCTTATTTGTGTGTTCATACAAGAGGAGAAGCAAACTGATGTGAATATCAATTCAATATTCTAATGAGTACATTAAGTAGTGGAGATGAGAAAATTCGAATGTAAAGATCAATACTGATTAAGGCATAGCTGTGTTAATTACTTTCTATGAAATATAAGTGATATATTCCTAGAGTGACAGTCTAGTAATATCATGGAAGAAAATTCTTCTCAGTATCTCGAGTTTTTAAATCAATATCAAAAACAAAACAATTTAAAAATAATTACTTGGTTGCATGGAATTTGAATCATCATCTGAATTAAACTCTTGACACGTCGGTGTCAATGATTCTTCAGTATTTGTTTTTAATACTAATTTAACACCTTTACCATGTACATTTTGTTGTATATCATTATCGAGATTTCGTTGGTTTTCTTGATTTTTACTACGAAGAATACCTTGCTGAAAAAAGTTAAAGAAAATGAGATTAAAAAACAAAATAAGATTATTTGATAAAATTTTACCACGCATAATTGTAATTTTAGTTGGTAGTAATTATGATGTATATGATCACGTTCGAGAAAGCCAAAACGTGGATCATTCTTTGTTCGAATAGATTGTTCAAATGCTTGACCGTTGCGTGCGACATATTCAGCTAATTTATCTATAATTGGTTTCACATCTGGAGGTGGTGGAATTACATGTGTTGATGAAGATGAATCTGATTTTGGCCTAATAAATAAATAAAAAATCATACATATATATATATATTGATATAAAAGTCTTATTGATTTATTATGAAAGAAGTTAATAAAAAAACGAATAGCTAATTAATACATACGAAAGTTCTTCAGTTTTGATTTCTTCTTTTTTTGGCGACATTTTTTCTTCTTCATTTTCTTTTAAGACTCTAAATTAGAAAAAAAGATAAGAAAAACTATTTACTGAAAATTCATTTCACTGTTAATATACTTTTCACGTTGTCGAAGATGCTCATATTTTTTAATAAGTTGTCCATAAGCTGTATTGTGAATATTCATTTGTACTGGTGGTTTACGTGATGTTTCATCCGATTTCTTTGTTGCATTAGAATTATCATTATTTGTGCTACCCCTTAATAATGGATGTAAATATGAATCACCTCCTTCATCTTCATCGTGACTATTATTTTGATCAATACCTATGATTTAAATAAGATTAAAATTAATAGAAGATTTTATTTCTCCTGCTTTTTATACCGTTTTTATTCGTTTTTTTCTTTTGATTATTATTATTATTATTGTTATTATTAGTATTAGTATTATTAGTAGTAGTAGTTGAATTATTATCAAAGTTGGGTCGATATTTTCCGGATTTAATCATTATTATAAGATGGCGATAATAGGGATTAAGATAGTGATCATATTTAAGAAAGTCGAATTGAGGATTATTGGCTTGTTTTGTTTTAAGAACAATTTCCATTTGAAGACCAGAAGTAGATACAAAACTAGCAGTTTTTTCAATCACAGCATTCAATTTAATGGATTCAGGCTATCGAAAATAAATCAATAGATTCCAGTCAAAAAAAAGGTCTTTTAAAAAAACCTACAATATCCATTCCATAAGGTATTTGCAACTTTTCTGATGGATAAAATGGTTCATATTCATCATCATCATCATCGTCCAGTGTTTGTGGAACTTCTAAAAGTACAGAAAAAATAATAATAATAATTCTGATTAATCTTCGATAGATTAAATGCAAATGCAAAATCATAGATTAAAAAATATAATCCTTGATATTTTTAAAGAAGATTTTACAAGAAAAGCTCTTCTTACATATTGGTAAACGATAAGTGGATCTTTTTTTATTCTTTCTTTTTAATAAAACAAACTTTTTCGTCAAAAACAATGAATAAATGTGTCAGATCAACAGAATTATTTATTATTTATAATTAAAAAAAACTTCTAGAATCATTCATAACTTATTTTTCATTTATTTTTATAGTAAACAAAATTGCAATCGGAAACTGATTTCGGAAAGCGACAAAGACGGTGTATCCTTTCTAAATCAACAGCTATTATATACGATTCACTATGTATGTCATATAAAATTATATGTAGAAGAATGTCAAAACTCATCTTGTGTAATAGTATTAGACCTCGCAAAAATAAAACCTTGTCTTTTTCATTCATACAATACTATAGACTTATATCTCCATCTATTAAGAGCAGAACGTAAGTATACTTTATAGAGATTTGTTTTGATTGACATACATATTCAAAACTACTATTATATCAAAACTTTGACGTATGTCATGAAAACTTGAACTGTGCATTTAGTCTTTTGTATACTTCAAGGTGTTCTAAGAATCAAAGAAAATTAGAATTTATTCTATGTGCAAGAAGCATATAGTACACAAAAATAGGATGAGATACATAACGACGTCAGCATGTATTTTTTTTTCTTTGCAGAATTAAATTATAAATCTAACAAATACAAAATGCAAAATCCGTAAAAAAATATCAATCTTTCTAGTTTTAATCTGATAAAACGCATAGCAAATTGTAGATTAATTTTTATTCTACGTGATTTATGAATGCTATAATCAGTTTTGTTCTAGTTTCACTTTGGACAACTACCTGTCGCTATCCGAAGAAGTATTAAATATTGAAATAATTTCATAATTCATGTCCGATGAACAATAATTAATATTGACAAGGTAAGATATGTTATCTAAATAACTGAAGTTTCTATTCTTTGAGAATGTTTTATTAATACTTGTGTATTGTTATAATAGCAACAATATCTTCTTTCGTAAAATTTATCAGAATAAAATGATTACGGAATACATATTTCAAACATTCGATGAAATATTTTCGTTTTTCATTGATGTATTCTCTGATAATAGCTTAGAATAGCTAATACCAGTGAAGAAGTAATCGCGTAAATCATTTATTTTCGATGTACTAAAATCAAAGTATATGTAAATTTGGAGCACAATGATTATTTCAAAGTACGTTTACACGTTATCAAAGTAGAATAAAATAATGTCAAGAAGATATTGCTCTAACTTAATATGCAACTAAATCATATGTTGCGTTGAATATATTAACTATCAAACTGAAAATATTAATCGATATTTTATTATGACTAAATAAATAAGTAAATAAATTGCACTGCTGTTTTTCTTTTTATTTCTATGAATATTTTACTAAAACATCCTGTTACATTCTATTCAAAGAAGATTATGACATGAAATCAGTTTTTGCATATCTGCTATAGATATTTAGAGATACTAAAATATTTTGTCTTGGTTGCTTTAAAAAATTTTTTCGTACAATACAAAAGTCTTGAAATATGAAATTTACCTTCGATTGTTTTACTTGAAGATCCTTTCGTTTTACTTAAATCATCATAAGTATATCCAACTTGACTGTAAGCGGTTTTATCTGCATTAAGTCGTTTCCATTCTTCTTCTAAAGACAAGTTTAGAGTCAGTATATAATTGTTTTTGTTGTTTTTATTTTGTTTTACCTTGTTGTAAAGCTTCTTTTTCCATATCTTTATATAATGCCAAATACCTTTCTTTATCACATTCTTCTTCAATACGTTTTTCTTCTTCACTTAAAAAATGTAATTCATTATTTGATTGTTTTTGTCGTATTAAATCACTATCCCATAATTTCAAATCAGATAAATGACCACGACAATCATACCTAGAAAAATTCAGAAAAAATCCAGAATTAAAATAATGAAATAACAGAATGAAATTTTCTTTCTTTTTTGCTTTTATGTAGAAAAAAGGATTCTTTTTTTAAAGTTTCTCTCTTTAAAAATATAAAATCATGCCCTTATTTATTTCTCAGAAAGACTGATGTGATGAGTTGTCTGTCCTACTGCAATAAAAAATAGAATTGAAAAGTATATATAAATTACATTTAGAAAACAAAGTATTTTTTTTTCACTTATACGTTTATATATATAATAAATATAAATATAAAAGAGATAAGATAAACTTACCAAATTGTAGAAGAAATAGCAGCTTCTCACCTGATTAGTACCATTTATCATCTTTTTTTTAGCCTAAAATCGTAAATAAACACTACCAACACTTACTTGTTTCTATCTCATAGAATAATTAATGAAAAATCAGTAGATGTCTCTTAAGAAGTTTTTGTTTTTCATTGTATGATTTATCGAAGTAAAAAACAAAAAAAATAGAAACAGAAAAGTCATATTTTGCACACCTGTCAATCATAACGTTTTCATCGCCATTCCATGGTATAAGACTTTGACCACGATCAATAGCTTTCGCAGAAAAATCATCACGAAATAATTTACATGAATAACCAAAAACAATTAATTCTTCTTCTTTAAATTCATCATGACCATTATTATATTCATGTTCCTGTTCTTGTTCATTGTCTAGTTCAGGAAATAAATTTATATTCGACATTATTATTACTTCAAGTAAGAGAAAATAATCTGACGAACATACACAATCGATTTCACGTCATCTCATAGATTTCTATTGGTACAATATAGTTACCAATGGAAAATTTCTTTACAAAGAGGCTTTTTGATGTTTATTAAAATTGATTCATGGCGATATATGACCATACACGAGATGCTCGCCGTTGTTGTTTTTTTGTTTGAAAAAGAGTGGGTTTAAGCAAACAATAGTATAGCTTTTTCATGATTGTTAACGTATGAACATTTTAGACAAGAATTTCTTTTTTTATTACGACCTATTTTAGGTGAATGATGACTCATATGATGATGACTATTGTCATCAAAGGAGAACAGTCAGTTTTGTACAAAAGATAATAACTAGAAAAAGTATAACGATGAAAAAACTTTAATTTGAAAAAAAGATTATCGAGCGATAGTCAGTTTGTAGACGAATCGAATCTGTTTGTCAATTATCATTCTATTCATCATTTCAACATCGATTCATTTTCCTTATATAAAATCATAAATTGTTTTTTTTGTTTTTTGAATTTCAGATAAATAATGATGGCCTCAATCGACGTATCAACATCATCGTCAGCTCCGAATCCAACAAATGCACTTGTTTTACCAAATATTATCTATCCCGTAATTGATCAAATGGATAAATCAGGTTATAAAGATATACAATTCGATATGCGTTCAACATTATTTAAACTAGAAGAAATTTATCCAGGTTTTTCTCGTTGCTTTCTTCAATCATTCATAAGTAGAGAAATGCCATCGTTGTCTTCAACAACAAATACGAATGAATTAACACTTAAACTTGAAAAATATTGTGATAAATCACCTTATTTTATATCATCGTTACATAATGAACAAGTATTTCATGAATTAAATTTTCGTTCGAAAAATCTTAAACGTATATTAAGTCGTATACCTGATGATATTAATGAAAAACGTGAATTTCTTGAAACAATCAAAGAAATAGCAAGTGCTATTAAAAAAACACTTGATAGTGTTACCAATACTTTACACTATTTTAAAACTGTTGAAGGTCGGCAAGCATTAGAAAATGAAAAAAAAGAATTTATTAAATACAGTAAAAATTTTAGTAATACATTAAAAGCTTACTTTCGAGATAGTAAACGTGATGATGTTTATATGGCAGCAAATCATTTACTTATTCAAATTGATTATCTTTTACGTACTATAAAATTATATTGCGAAACAGATCAAATTGATGATTGTTTATATCCATCATTATCTCAACATCAAAATCAAATGAAACTTCTCGCATCAACACGTTATTCAACGAATAATCAACAACAATATAATATAAGACAATCATCTGCTTCATCGAATAGTCGACAATCATATGAAACAAATTATTCGTAAGAAAATTTGAAAATAGAAAACAAGTGAAATTCTTTTTAAAACACACATTATTTAAAAAGAACATTTTTCTTTGTACAGTATACTTTTATTTATTATGTATGTATCAAAACAAATATCTGGGTAAAGAAAACATGCTAAAAATAATTCATATTCCGTTCAATTGTACAGTAGGATTTTTTTTCTTCTTTTTTTTTCTTCTTTTATTAATATTGAATGATACTTATTTCTCTGCTTATTTTTGTTTTCTTTTTTCTTGATAGAATATTAAGGAAAAAAAAGTGACACATTTCAGAGCCAACAGCTCATTATTTTCATTTCTACTAGCACTATTTCCAAAGACACACTGCAGATGGGTCAAAATTCTATAGCAAGTTTTCTTCTTCTTTTTTTACCTCGATCAATACCGAGAACCACAATTGTTCTTCGACTGTAATTATTTTTGTGTTTTTTTTCTCGTTGCATACATATTCAATGTCAGGTATCGTCCGATGGTAGTTAGCACATAAAAACTACTTGAATAGAGTCAGCATTGACTAATAATTAATCATTAAAGGAAAGTGAATCATCTATACCTTTATTTCTATCTGAAAAAGAAGAGAAGAGGGAAAAATAGACAACAGGAAAATATGATTGTGTGCATTGACGTATGGATCTGTTGTGGGCACATGCATCAGCTCGACATTAATAGCTAACTTAAAGTCGATGTGCAGTAAGGAATAAAAGAAATAGAAGGACGAACAGCAGAAAGAAAGAAAGAAAAGTCCACCCACTCATTTTCCTTTCTATTGGCAAGTAGTGTAACAATAACCGATACTTTCCACATTCATCGATTTTTTTTTGCTGTTCTTTCTTTTTTCTATTTGTTTCGACAGAATTTCCCATGATCACATGAGTGAAATAGAAGATATAATAGAATCCATTGTGATTTATTTTTAAACGGGTATGCACAGATTGTTATTCATATATGTAAAATGACGTCACATTGAACGAGTCAGATTCAATTATTTTTTCTTTTTGATGTTGTGTCATTTTCTGTTAATATTTATTTTAAATAGCGTTATACTATTATCTCAACACGAGATATACATTAACTTTGTTTGCTATATCATCATCAATTTTTCAATCATTGTTTTCTTTTGTTTATGTTTAAGATTGAAATAGGAAAAACGACAAATTTTACTTAAAACATATTTTGATCGATTTGATCAAGTGAACAGAAAAAAATGCCATCTGCAAATGTCGATACTCGTACATTTAAACAACGGAAAAGTTTTGGTAAATGGTTGAATGATTAATTGTATGTTTCTAAAAAATATAACTTTTCCTTTTCTTTTTTTAAAGCAACAAGAAAAGAAGAAGTAGCTGGCATTCGAAGTAAATTTCCAAATAGTAAGTTTTTATCATCTATAATTATAGAATAATAATTATGAAAACAACAAAATAACTTTCATTATTTCAGAAATTCCAGTTATTGTTGAAAGATATCATAAAGAAAAAGACTTACCGATTCTTGGTAAACTACATTCATTTTTTTTATTGATTAGCTTTTTGTCTTGATCAATTTTACTCTATTTATATAGATAAAACGAAATTTTTGGTACCTCAAGAATTGACAATGTCACAATTTGTAACCATTATTCGGTAAATTGAAAAAAGAAACTTTCATTTTTTGTTTGTGACATTAATTTAAATTAGAAATCGTATGCAACTAAATGCCAACCAAGCATTTTATTTACTGGTGAACAATAAAAGTATTGCGTCAATGTCAACTTCCATGGCTGAAATCTATCGCGATGACAAAGTAAGAATATAAATAGTTAATAAATGTTTTACTATGAAAATATCATTTTTTCCAATGATTATCAAGGATGACGACGGTTTTCTGTATATGACTTATGCTAGTCAAGAAATGTTCGGTGGTTTTGATCAATAAGTGAAACAATTTATTCTATAAATATATTTATATATATAAATATTTCGTTTAACTGCATGTTTCTCTTTTTTTTGCTGTCGTTCGTCTTCAGTATTTTTTTTCTTGTGAAAACTATATTCTATCTTTTGCTCATAAAACTGTTATAGAAAATAGGAAGATATTTTATGTCATAATGAGCCGGTACGACAATTAATCTATCATCTGTGTGCATATATTTTCCATCGTCATGTAAATGTGCAACTTAAAGACAATTATTTTCTTCTTCTTTTTCAGACTAATCTAATCTATAAATTTATTGCATCCAACCTATTTTTGTTCTACAATATAGACGACTGTGTAATAGATTACATTTTTTTTGTTTGACGGTCTTTTTTTTCTCTTGCTTCAATGCATTATTAGTGTGGATTTTAATTTTTTTTCTTCCTTTACTTGTACGCGTGTTGTAATTTTTTGTTTCGTTCTGATTAATATGTATTGATCACAAACAGTTTTATTTTGTATATTATTCAAGTAAGAAAAAAAATTTAGCACACACATGCATTTTATTTGTTGTGTTTTATTTATCTTAGCCAATTTTTTTCGGGAGAACTTTACTTAGTTTTTTCTTTAATTTCGATTTTAAGGATGTTTGTTTTTTAGATTCTTTTTCAGAACGAGATGATAATGAAAGTGTACAGTAGGGTTTGTCAGGCGTTGTTTTTAAATAGAAACTACCACTGCCAACTTTATAAATAGGATTACTTTTATCAGCATAAAAACCCATACGTGGATAAGTTAAATCATTATCAACTGGATCTTTACATTTCTTCGATAGATAATCTGTCCATGATGAGCAGAGTTTTGCTCGAAAACTACATTGATTAATTGATGATATGAAATAATGTGGTGATCGAAGATGATTACAACCGATATAAGCATGAATATTAAGAAAAACTTTTTTTAATGGATTTAGTGCTCCTAATCGATCGCGAATTTTTCCAAGGATACTTTTCTTTGGCATATCTTCACTAGTATCGTTTTCTTTTCGATTCCTACTATAAAGAAAACGTTTAATACGAAAACGTTTTTCAGTTTCGTCGTTGTCTTTAATGTTGATAAATTTTTCACATCCTTCTGCACTACTTTTCCCGCCATCGGGAAAAAAATCCATGTGTCCACTTTTTTCTTGTAAACCAAACGTTGTTGATGTATGAATACAATCAACGAAATCGGCATCATCCGATGATAAACGTTTATCAATAGAAGCTTTACGTAATAAGGGTCCAGAAGGATCGAGACCAGATATACGTGCAAACCTTAATTTTTTGTTTGATATAGTGTAGTAATTATTTGAAGCAAATGCACAAAGGTGAGCACCAAGACTAAAATTTTATCAAAAACAAAAATTAGAAATACGGACTAGTAGTTTAAACGAAAAACAAGCGATGTTCTTTTTCTTTTACCTAAATCCTATACAATGCAAACGTTTAGGGTCGATAAGATTGTTTTGTATAAATTCGGCTAGATGTTGTCCAGCTATGTCAGCATTACTTACAGCTGTAATGAAATTGACTTCTCGTGCTCCTTGTTCCCAATCAATTGCAATAACGCAAAGATTCTCGTTCATTTTATTATTTATTATTTCATTCTTCATTTCACTAACCCAATCCCATCTCCAATCCATATTCCATCGTTCAGCATACCCATGAGCAATTAATTTAATTGAACAATTCTGAAAAGATCTTTCTTTTAACCATTTCGTAGTATCTGCCCATAATATTGTTATTGGCTTGTTGATATTTTGTTTTGAAAATACATGAAAATATGTGTCATATTCAGTTGTTCCTTCAATTTTTTGTATCAAAACAAAAATTTTAGCGATATATACGAATAGTAAAAATGGTCGTAACATATAGAATATTTTGTTTTTCGATTCTGTGAGAATAAATGTATGTGTATATATGCATATGTATATGTATATATATATATGTCAAATAGTGCCTGATTATGTTGATATGTTTGTTTTGTGATAACGGGACCTTAACGGTTTATTCGTTGGTAATATTTTGTTCTGTTCTTTACATAAATAGAAAAAAAAGCAATTGGAGGAAAGCTAAAGGAGAAATATTAAGATAACCTATTACAAAAGTTTTTGTAAATCTTAAATTTGCATAAATAATAATCATTTTAAAGAACAAAAATTTTCCTATTTTGCTTTATTGTAGAGTTTCGGTAATACCGAAGCAAGAAATAGTATTTTATTACACAATATCTCGTTCGTTAACGGCGTGGTATTAAATCAATAGAAGAAAACATAACTGACCGTCCAATGTCTCTATTTCGTTTTCTTTCGAGTAAAGTGGGTACTGGCTCAGGTTCAGTTGCCGGTGCTCATACTGTAGCTAATACATCATCACACGGAGCTGTTACCGGTGGTCATGGTCATGACTCACATGCTGCGCCATGGGAAGGCGTTAATCTCTGGCGTACACCATTCAAAGGTGATACTGATACCGTTACACAAGTAAAACGTACTAAAGGTGTACTTGATCGATACGTTGAGAATCGTATTCGTCGTATGCAAGAAATGCAACTTTTTGCTTTGGTAAATGATATTTTAATAATAGAAAATTAATTTAAATTGACAATTCTAATTATCTATTTAGCGCAACAAGGCTACACCTACTTGGGTTATGATGCCAAAAGATAAAATTCTTCTCGCAGCACAAGGTGTCATAGTTGTCTATGTTCTTTATCAAGTTTCTACAACTATATACAATCATTTGAAAGCGAAAGATCGTCTTAAATGTAAATTAACATTCATTTGCTTTGATGTCAATTGAATATATATATATATTATTTATTTTTATTTTTATTTTAGTGGTCAAATTATTTTACAAAGACAATGTTAATTAACTCAATACATTGTGAATTCATTTTTTCGAATCATACTAGAGAACATTCGTTCCTTGTCCTCATGTCCTTTATCTTTATGTTTTCCTGTGTAACAACTAAAAATAGCAGTTTAACTTTGAAATAAACAACTTAGTTTAAATGAGTTTTTGATTTTGCACTGATTTTTTTCTCTTGAAATATTCAGATGAATCCACCGAATAAATCATCTACTTTAGATGGTTGGAATGATCCACCAGCTAATCTTGCTTTATCTGATACGATATCAACAAAACGTGCTCTACTGAATAAACGTGTTCCATATACTAATCAAGATTTGACATCGACCAACAATCGTATGAAAACACATGCCGCTGAATTTCTTTCGTAGAGATTTCAAAATTCTATTTTAGTTTCCAATGCTTTAACAGCACCACCAATTTGCTCTGCATCGACAGTGCCCATACCAATTGTGTTCGATAAGGACGCTTCATCGAAAAATGATCTATTAACTATTGAAGAAATGAATGAAGTGTTTAAAAAAAAATTTAAACAACTAGAAGAATCATCAAACATTGAAGTAAATGTGCTTAGAAAATAGAAAATATTTTATTTAAAATTAATCAAATTTTCTCTTACAGAAAAAAATTCTTGAGGATATTAGTAAAAAGGTTCAAGTCATGAATGATGAATGGGCTCAAGAGAAATTATCATCAAATACAAAACAAATATTATCAAATATATTTCGTGAACTTGATTCTGATCATATACAGCAAGCGTTTGATATGCATGTTATATTAGTTAGAAATGCAAGTTCAGAAGTAAGGCTTTGTTGTTCGTAAAGTTCCTATTCAACTTTTCTTTTGCTTTTCTTTTATGTAGGTTGTTCGCTTTATTGTTGGTATCAAACGATTAATACAAGAATTACAGCGATTATCTAATTAAATTTTATCTTGTTAAATTTTTTTTTTTTATTGTTATTAGTTTCTTCTTTCCTTTAAAGCATTGCCTATAATAAAGTTTTATTTTTCAGATCAAATTTTTTAATATTCCCTAAAAAATGTCGAAAAAACCAACTGTGAAAAAACCGACGGTGCCAGCAATGTTTTCCAAAAATCCTCCTTCTACAACGACAACAACGACAACAAATGACAAAGAAAATCTGATAGAAGTTAAACCGAAAAGTGATCGACTTGTTCCATGGGTTGAGAAATAGTAAGAGTCTTATTTTACTCCGTTTTTTTTTATAGATTTTAAATATTTTGTTTTTCTCTCAATAATTAGTCGACCAAAGAAAGTAAGCGATGTTGCTTATCAAGATGAAGTGGTTGCAGTATTGACAAAATGTTTAGCTGGTAGTGACGTAAGTTAAAGTGCAGAAAACGTAAAATTTTGAACGAAATACATTTCATTTAGTTTCCCAACTTATTATTTTATGGACCACCAGGTACTGGAAAAACGAGTACTATTCTTGCTGCTGCTCATGAACTTTTTGGGTAAATAGTTTTCATAGATGAAAAACATTTAGGAAACGGTGTCTTTTGCATTTATCATTTTAGACCTCAATTATTTCGCGATCGAGTTATGGAACTCAATTCTTCTGATGAGCGTGGTATCAATGTTATACGTGAAAAAGTAAAAAAATTTGCACAGTTTTCGGTTATTGCAACACGTTCTGAGTAAGAGACAATTATATAAAAAAAGAAAAAAAACTCATAATTTGTTTCTTTTTATAATTTAAAAATTAAAGTGGTGCCTATTGTCCATCATTTAAATTGATTATTCTTGATGAATGTGATTCAATGACAAAAGCAGCTCAAGTAAGGAGAATTTTCATGCCTCTTTTTATTATTAATATGATTATTTTCATAGGCGGCTCTACGTCGCACAATGGAACGTGAATCTAAAACGACAAGATTTTGTTTAATTTGCAATTACATAAGCCGGTAAACATTTTTTTTTAAATTTATTCATCCATTTTATTATGAAATAATTTTTGTATCTCAAAGAATAATCGATCCAATTACAAGTCGTTGTGCGAAGTTTCGTTTTAAACCATTAAAAGATAGTATTATTGTACAGCGTTTACAAACAATTTGTGATACTGAAAATGTTCAACATGAACCAGAGGTATTTGTTTGTTTTTCTAATTGAAATTTATTATATACTTGAATCTTGAAATATTCTTTGTACTCTCTTGATACTAGGCAATAACTGAATTAGTGAAATGTACTGAAGGTGATATGCGTAAAGCAGTAACATTTTTACAAAGTGTTGCTCGTTTTCGTGCAAATACGGTAATAACAGCAATTGATGTTCAAGAAATAACTGGTGTATGTTATTAAATATAATTTGAAAAGATAAAAGACTCATTTTAACTTGTAGATTATTCCAGAGAATGTTATTGAAAATCTTTATCAAGTATGTCATTCTAGCTCATATGAAAAATTGGCCACAACTGTTAAGGTATATAGTAATGCTTCGATGTTATATTACGAGTATATATCTATTTCTTTCTCTTTATTAGAATGTATTATTAGAAGGCTATGCAGCTCATCAATTATTATTACAATTACATGATTATATTTTGGGACAAATGGCATTAGGTAATGAACAAAAAGGAATTATTTTTGAAAAAGCTGCTGTAAGATAAAAATAGATGAAAGAAGGTACTGTTTTTGTGAAATTTTAATTTTCTTTTATTAGATTGTTGACGGCTGTTTACTGGATGGAGCTGATGAATATTTACAACTGATGGATTTTCTCTGTACGGTGATGCATCAATTATGTCGATCATAAATTGAATAAAGATTAGTTTTTTCATGTCAGATCTAGATTGATATTTTTTTCTCCAGAAATTGTATAAGTATTCTTTTCTTGTTTGTCTATTCTTAAATAAATGATTCAAGATGAAATCAACTATAATTAAGAGCCAATCAATGATTGTTTATATTTCAAATCTCTTGAAAAGAAAGATTTCTAATTTCGTATGCCAATATCATCATTATTTATTCAAATATCAAGTTTCTATTTAAATGAATCGGGATTTATCCCTATTTATTTTTATTTTTGTCTTTGCAAAGTTATCATGATGCGTTTTTTTCTATGCGTTTATACGAGAAATTTCCACAATCAAGCTTAAATTGTACATCATCAATCATCTGTTGCATACAAGATAATATGCCTATCAACATTGACTAAATCTGTTTCCTCTCATTAGATATTTTTACCAACTATACGATCTCTGATACTAATGTCAATTATCAGTCGTTTCTTTTTCTTCTGCCCGAAAGAAAATTGATGTATATGCTCAGTTATCCAATCTTGAGTGCATCTTACCGATATTGTTGATTTATTATTCATCAAGTAGAGAGAACCACACCAAATAAGAAATAAAAAGATATAATAACGAGGATATTTAGTACTTTCCTCGCACTGTTCTCTAATGGAAACTGTCATACTGTAACATAAGCTGTAGTTTTAGTACATAATTTGTTGTTAGCTTTCTTTCTTCGCCGGTTGGTATTTTCTTTCTGCTTAAAAGCAGCTAGCACTATGTATTCAAAATACTTTTATTTGATTATATACCTGAGCATACTTGTGAATGTAAAATCTCAGTCAACCTTTGATGGCGATGATGATTATGATACACAACAACAAATACGCACAGGTAATGAATAGACTTATTTTTTAATCTTCATTTATGTATATATATATATATAATGAATGTAGAACCACTGATTTTCATCCGTCGACCACAGTCAACAGAAGTTACCATTGGTAGTAATGCAATATTTTACTGTAGTTCATCATCCAGTCCAATCATATGGTCTAAAGTATAGAATTAGATCTTCATATCAACAAAATAATAACAGATATTATTTTGTTTTGCATAGAATGATATACCGATAGGTCCAAGTTCAAAACATATGATAACTAGTCAATATCTTCAAATTGTAAATGTTGATGAAAATGATGAAGCAACATATGCTTGTACAATACGGAATACAGTTGAAATGAAAACAACATCAGCAAATCTAACTGTACTCAGTAAGATAGCTTTTATTTGAAATTAGTTTTATAATCTTTCCTTTTTTTTTAAAATTAATGTTTAAGTTGCTCCTCGCTTTTCTCCATTACCCGATACATATCGTCTTGGTTTGAAAAATTTATCTATCGAATTAAGATGTCAAGTTCTTGGAAATCCAAAACCGAAAATTATGTGGTATAAATCTCGTAAGTATTAATACATATTTAGTCAATCTCTTACAATCTATTATGAAATTAGATGTCAACATTCGATCATCGCATCGTATGCGTTTACTTGATGATAGTCAAGTATTACAGATTAATCAATTACGAAATGATGATGCAGGTGTTTATACGTGTGTTGCAGAAAATTCTCTTCGACGCATTGTAGCATCAACGGATGTTCGCGTTCAAGATCCTAGTACGCGTTTTCTTTTTAATGAATTTTTTTAATTCAATTTATCGTCTAAATAGTACCACCATTGTTTTCTCGACGTATGTCAAATGTAACAACATATGACGGAGCATCAGTTGAACTTGAATGTACAGCAACTGGAGATCCACAACCAAAAATTGAATGGTCTCGAGATAGTATTCCTATTCATTATAGTATTCAGTATGTATTAAAAGAAGATGGCTCACTTTTACTTCCAAATGTTACTGCTAATCAATCGGGCTATTACAAATGTCAAGCATCAAATTATGCTGGAACAGAAATTCATTCATTTTGGGTAACAGTTATTAGTAAGTTTAGAATAAAACATTTATTTATTTTAGGAATTAAACAGAAAAACAACGAAATCTATTGATTTAATTTAGATGATAATCAAATTACTGATGAACTTATAGATCGTCTTGTACAGCAAGCATCAACAGAAGTAAATCGTGCTGTTTCAGAAACAATTCGTCATTTACAAGATCGTCGTCGGCCACGAACACCAGGAGATTTAATGTCATTAATGAAATTTCCTAAACCATTACAATTAACATTGGCTAAGACAGAAGATATTTTTGAACGAGCACTTGATCTTGTGCATCGATATGTTGATAACATAACATTTCCAAGTGAATATGCCACACATCAAATGCGTACTATCGGTAATTAATTTCGAAGAAAAACAAATATATTTGTAAAAGAAATTTTTTTCTTTCTTTTAGAATTTCGACCTGATCATTTTCTTACAGCTCGTCAATTAGAACGTCTTGCACTTGTATCTGGTTGTGTAACGCATCAATTAAAATCTCGATGCAATGAACACTGTATGGCTTATCGTACAGGAGATGGAACATGTAATAATTTGAAGCATCCATTTTGGGGTGCTTCATTAACCGCTTTAACACGTTGGCTACATTCACAATATGAAAATGGTTTTAATACACCACGTGGTTGGAACGAAAGTAAATTATATAATGGTTATGTATTACCATCGGCACGTGAAGTGTCAGCAAGACTGATTGCAACTAAAACTATCACGCCTGATCCAGCCTTTTCTCATATGCTTATGCAATGGGGACAATTTCAAGGTAAAACTATATTTGAAAATATTTAATTTATTTATCGTATAGCACTAATTTAATGAATAATAGATCATGACATGTCATTAACAGTGCAAGCAACAAGTAATACACGTTTTTCTGATAGTCTTCGTTGTATATCATCGTGTTCATTTGAACCGCCATGCTATCCTATCCGTATTCCTGACGATGATCATTTGCGACAAGAGCGTGGTTCATGTCTTGAATTTGTACGATCGGCTGCTATATGTTTAAGTGGTGAAACATCCTTTGTTCATTTACCATATCGACGTGAACAAATTAATTCGTTGACATCATTTTTTGACGCATCAAATGTTTACGGTTCAACTATACAAGATGCTTGGGATTTAAGAGAACGAAGTTCAGGAAAAGGACTTCTTCGAATTCACAGGTAAATTAGATTAATCAAGAAACTAATTTATGAACCATTTTTTTCTCTACAGTACACCTGAATTTCCTAAAGGATTACTTCCCTTCAGCACTGATACACCTGTTGATTGTCAACGTGATCGACAAGCATCACAAATTGGTTGTTTTCTTGCAGGAGGTAATTATTTTTTAACTAAAAAAAACAAACTTCTCTTCTTTACATATCTTTTTTTCTAAAAACAAAAAGATCATCGAGTAAATGAACAAGTTGCTTTAACTGCAATGCATACAGTTTGGGTACGACAACATAATCGTTTAGCTAGACGACTTAGTTCAATGAATCCAAAATGGTCTGATGAACAAGTTTATCAAGAAACACGAAAGATTATTGAAGCACAATTACAAATAATAACATATAAACATTGGTTACCATATATAATCGGTGATGAAGGTATGAATATGCTTGGATCATATAAAGGCTATAATCGAAATATTAATCCATCGATATCAAATGTTTTTGCTACTGCCGCATTTCGGTATATAAACTAAAATTCATATAAAAACATTTTAATAGAATACTTTTACTTTGTCTTTTCTCAGCTTTGGTCATGGTCTAATCAATCCAGTATTTTATCGTTTAAATTCAAGTCTGGAACCAATTCCTGAAGGAAATCTACTACTACGAGATGCATTTTTTTCGCCATGGCGTGTTAAAGAACAAGGTGGTATTGATCCATTATTACGTGGAATGTATGGCGTATCAGCAAAAATAAAGTTACCTCAACAAATCCTCAATGTTGAATTAACGGAACGTTTATTTCATATAACACGTGCTATATCACTCGATTTAGCTGCAGCAAATATTCAGCGTAGCCGTGATCATGGTTTACAATCGTATACAGCATGGCGAAAATTTTGTCATTTACAACCAGATGAAATACATGATTTTGAAGATTTACGTAACGATATATCTGATGTACAAACACGTCGTACACTACGTGATGTTTATAAACATGTTGATAATATTGATGTTTGGGTAGGTGGAATACTTGAAGATAATCTACCTGGTGCAAAAGTTGGACCATTGTTTCGTTGTTTAATTGCTAAGCAATTTAAAGCGCTTCGAGATGGTGATAGGTAACGATTTCATTGTCTATGAAAACAAACAAAACAAACAGAATTTTACATCGTAGATATTTTCATGAAAAACCTGGAATATTCACATCTCAACAAATGAACTCACTACAAAAAACCACACTAGCTAAAGTACTTTGTGAAAATGGAGATCGTATTGAACATATACCACGAAATGTATTTTTAAATGCATTGTATCCACGTGATTATGTACCATGCTCACAAATTGAAGATATTGATCTTGAACCATGGCGTGGATGTTGTAATGAAAATATGGTTGGAATAAATGCAGGTAAGACATTCTATTTTCATATTAAGATAAAATAATTAATTAAGCATTGTTTTCTTTTTTCTTCTTAGTTTGCAATATTCCGGCTATTCTTTCATATGATCCATTTCCTAATTATGAACCAGCCAGATCTAAAACTGACATACGGCAAAAACGAGAAATTATCGAAGGCGAAAAACCGGACGAAATAGACGATAAAATGCAAACAAAAGAAGATCAACTACAATTAGACGGGCTTCGTCAACAAGTCAATGAAGTCTTAAAGAAGGTTAGAATCGTTGATTTTTATTTCAATTGCTGTATGAAGTAAATTATTTCTTCTATGTTTTATTTATTTTTTAACTAGTTTGCAACTTTTGACAAACGTCTAACAACTGGTACACATTGTTATGATCAAAATACAGGAAAACTACATGAAAATGATACAAAATGGCATGTTCATAAATGTCTTGTTTGTCAATGCAAAGTATAATTAATCCATATATTTTTTCCTGATTAAAACTATCTTTTGATTTTTAGGATGCGACAAGTCTATGTGAAGTTATCTGTTAAATCTAATTACTTTCTTTTTTATATTAGCAAGAACATTCATCTATTCATCAAGATATAGTTGATCAATATTTAACAAAACAAGAATAATAAATTAGTTTATTTTTAGTTGCATGAAAACTACGTAACACTCATGTGAATATAGAACTAGAACAAACTAGAAACATGAATAATAAAGAAAATATAATCTAGTTTTTAATTTAATATTTTCAGCAAGTAAAGTTTGCTGCAGTTTTTTTTCAATGTTAATCTTTAGAATTTGATAAACGACCATTTTCTTATTTACAATAAATTGTTTTCAAAAATTGAAGATACACTTGGAATAGGTTCCTACATTAGTTACTGAATGTTTTTTCTTCAAGAATATTTAATTTCATGAGAAAAATTGGTTTGAATAAATTACAAGTAAAATTCATCAATATGAATTTAGATTCAAACAAATATTTCGGGTAATTTAAAAAAAAAACAAAGGACCCATATCAATATTTGAGTAGAAAACAAGAAACGAAAATTAAACTTAACGAACAGAATATTCTGAAAGAAATATAACCGCCACTGAAAAGAAGTCAAGTTTCAAATTTTTCTGATAGTCATGTTTACCTGCCAGAAATAGTTCTAATGAGACTTTTACACCGCAACGAAAATACTTTGCGGTCATTAGAGATTTTATGATGGATATTCCATTTTGTGTTAGTTTCTTAGATCGATTAAATTTCGGTTAGTGATTTAGAAATATTGATCGATAAGTAGAGATAGTATACTGTTGAAAGAATTCCTTGTCAATGTAAAATAGTATTAATCTTAGTCGAGTTATACGAGGAAATTTGCCTGAGAAAACATATCTTAAATTTGATTTTTGTTGTATTTCTAAAAGCATACAACAAATAGTAATTAATAATTATCTAAAGCAAAGATAATTGCTAAATGAGTCGTTAGTTATTTGAACAAAGTTGATTGAATGATGGCTAGAATTGAACGGAATGCATCGAAGACGAGCAACATTGTCGAAAAGTTGAAAAGAACAGATAATCGAGAAAATCAGGAAAAATAATGATTTTACGCCAATTAGTCTATTAGTATATTTCGGTGATGTTCATTATCATTACTTTTCTTTGTATCTGAAACTTTATAGAAGTGTAAATTTTTATTTGATTAACTGTAGTAATCGATCGATTATTAGTTTAGATGTTGGGTATGATATCTAACAGAAACTAACAAACTCTTAATTGAAGGTACGCGCATATATACAATAACAGTTCGTAACCTGCTTGTTACATTTTATCGAGATATTGTATTACATGATATTTATGTTGAAAAAGTAGTTAAGAAATAAACAATCTTAAGAAAAATTCGTAGAGGCTTTAGTAAATGAAATAAATTGAGATAAAATTTTAGCAGATAATCTCATCTCAAATTTTGACTTTAGAGTAACATGAAATATGAATTCATTGCAAGGACAAAGGAGAAATGACGAAGCTTATCGTATTAGAAACACTATTTTTTCTTAGAATAGTGTGTGATAATCATAGAAAACCAGTTAATTTTATAGAAGTACCATCGATTATTTGTCTTATGAGGGACCATTCCCCAGTGATTCGTACCGTTTGGTTTAACATTTTGCTCATAGGAAGGATCCAATGAGGCTAGGAAAAGCCTAAAAGATTGCGTACCATTAGGCCTTTCTTTCAAACTTATGACTCTTTTACTAAATTTTCGACCTTGGACAAGGAATTTCGAAATAAAATTTTGTCTAACAATAGATCTCGTTCGTGTTAGAAAATTGTAAAAGTTTCAGTTAAAACTGATGCTTTCTTTTAGAGATATTGCAGATTGAAGAAAACGGTCATGGTCCAAAAATTATCGTAAAATTGACTTTTCTTCAATCTGCAATATCTCTAAAAGAACGCATCAGCTTTAACTGAAAGATTTACAATTTTCTAACACCAACGAGACCTATTGTTAGACAAAATTTTAGTTCGAAATTCTTTTATACAATTTTTCTAGAAATCCTTTGACCAATGTGGAAAATTCATTAAAACGGTCATAACTTCGAAGAAAAGGCCTAAGGGCACGAAATCTTTTAGGCTTTTCCTAGTGCCATTGGATCTTTTCTATGAGCAAAATGTGAGACCAAACGGTGCGAATCACTTGGGAATGTTCCCTCGTCAGTATCATGATAAACTTTAACAGGTCCGCATTTACTATCATGTAAAAATCGTGTAATTTTCTTGTAAAATAATGGCCTGCTTTTTTTTCTTAGTAAATATTAATTTTGAACGCATTCAAATTATCTCATATCCGTTCTTCTTCCTTCAATCTACCCTTTAAAATCACTGATTGCTGTTTCAAGTAACTATACAGTCAAATTCTACAGTAACAGTCTGATGTTGTTAATTGCTGTAATCGAATTCATATTTTGAAAACAAATTTTTACACAGAGAAATAGATTTTTGAAGAAAAAAAGCTCTTGGTGATCTGAAATAGCAAAATAATACTATTGATTTTAATATCTATCATAAAAAAAGAAATTCACTTCAGACGGAGATTTCTATACCAAAACAATTACAAGACAATGTATTATTTATATTTCTCTTTTGCTATATTTTTCACGTTTCTTTCCGCTGAATACATATCGAGTGCGTCAGAATAGATGCTCCTCTCAGTTTTTTCTGAGTAATTCCTTCATTTTCTATTCTCTCGGCTTGAATATTCTTTTTTCTATTTCTTCATTTAATTTTCAACAGAAAAACTTGTAATACAAATCTTGTAGAGAATTAAACAGCGGATGTTTAGAGGAAAATTCAAACACAGAGAATAAAAAATGCAGGATTTGTTCAGAAAACACTAAGAGGAGCATTTTTCTGGTGCGCCCGTTAAATATTCAAATGAATCGGTAAATTTTTGCGAACATTGCCCATATTCGACAGTCACTATTTAGTAGAACTTGCATAATTAATTTATTCTTTCATGCCTTTCTATTATTCTCTTATTTTTGTTGTCATGCATGAGAACCTGCTAAATGAGTATTATTCTCCAGGCCATTTGATATCTCATTCATCACGATTACATATTGTGTCTCAAGAGTATTGAATTACTTTCGACGCCATAAGACTATTCCAGCTAGTATGTTGTCTCTATTAAGACTATGAAGACACTTTCTGAAAAAGAAACATTTACGTAATGATCAAATTTATATCCATGACTATTGAATGTTCAGCCAATAGAAAAAAATTGTAAAATGAGCATTGAGCAGTTCTTTACAAAAAGAGATGTTCTTGTTTACAAAAATAACACAACTTTCACTTGAGAAAAAGTCAAAATCTGTATGATGAAATACAATATAATTTCAAAATTAACATTAAAAACTGATGACACAAAATTTCAAGATTTTATAGAATCATTTGAAAGATATTTTTGAAGACTGAATATGCGTGCGTGCGTGTGTTTTGTGCTACTATACCTTGCGCACAAGTAATTATTACGAAACACTTCCTGCTTATTTACGTGTTATTTAGGTAATTTAAGAATCCTTTACTATTTTTAGTTCTCATATAAGAATCTATGGATTTGTTTTTCTAAAAAGATTATTTAACATCCAATCTTTATGTAGTGCTGTATTACGATCAACTAGATTATTACGATATATCACGAGAGTTATTCAAAGCTTATTGAAAGAAAAATCTAGAGAATCAGTTAGATCTATCAATCTACAAACATGTAACTATTATAGATCGGATGAAAGATGAATATTTAAAATCAAAGCAAAACAGAAGTTTCACTCGAGTAAAACTAAAAACTTTACTTTAATCTAAAATAATTTTTAGCAACTTTTTGTTATAATGATTATGTGTACTTCTTTTAACTGGCCTCATCAAATCTCTTACCATTATATGATAATAGTAACTTTTGACGTGTATTGTCATACTGTAAAAGAATATTTTCAGAATAAAAATATTATTATTTCACAAGAGAACGGTAGCTTTCAAGTATTAACAAAAGCTCATGGATGTTACACAATCGTCATGGTTAATTGTATTCACTAATTATCGTAAACCAATACTATTTAGATAGATATTCTCAATACTAAACTGTATAGATTGCACTATATTTGTATAAAGGTGAACGTGTATGCATCAGAACATAATTTATTTTACTGCGTATCATCATTGTCAACGATATTATTAATGTTCTTATGTTTATTATATACATACAAAAGAACATCAATTGAATTTTTAAAAGAAACTTGTAAATTAATTAGTAAATCTGATGTGTAAAATTCAGCATTCTCCCATGTAATTTTTTACAACAAACGGTAAAAAATAATTTCTCATCTTTCATCTTAATTTTCTACGTGTAAAGCTATGCAGAACAATTTATTGAACCGTAAAAATAATACGAAGCAACAATAGATCAAATAAAAAATTTCTATCAATGATGCAATTGTTTGAGAGAAGCATTCAATGAAATAGTTGTGTTTTTTAATTGTAAAACCATGTTGTAAATTAATATCAAATAAGGCTGATTTCTATTGTTCATTTTCACTCAATGAGTGTTAAACATCGTCGTAATAATTTTAACAAAAAGAACTCATATCTAGGATTTCGTAGTAGCGAAAATATGTTATGCAAATAGAAAATACTACCCATCAGAACTTCCATTCAAGTCATGATGACATAATATAATATCTATTTTTGCAAACTAATATAAGAAGATGAAACTAACTTATCTACTGAAAGTATCTTTTACATAGGGAATTTTTGATCGAACTACTTTCTGTTACTACTAAATATAATTTAAACTAAATGACAACAACAGATACCAATGGAAGTCAATAATGGGTCTTATTTTTCTATTTTTCTTTTGATATATTGCACAATTTCTGGAAAAACATTCTATAATTATGATAATCATCATCTGAATATACATATACAAATTAAAGTTTACAGCATTCATATTTATTTATAACTGTGTATATATGACAATAGTTGAAATGAGCAAGCGAATAGATGGGATTATTCTATCAATGAGCTTCATTGATAGTTATATTACTAGTGTAAGAATAAGATTCAATAGCTTTCATGGTGTAAGAGAACCTCAAAATATCATCAATGTGGTCAATATATTAGCTAAATGTGTTTTTAATGATTTATTAAAAGATAATAACAAATGACTTTTCGTACTGACTGATAACTTTATTCTTATGCTAGATATAGATAACTATAAATGAGTAAAGATTGAAAATAGGATCTATATATTTATATGCCATACGACGTATAGCAGGAAAGCAGTACAAAATTTTTTATTTCAATAAAAGCGTATCTTTTCTGATTCGAGAAAAAGCTTTAAAAAAAAAGGAAATCCTATTTAATTAACATAATTAGTATGAATTTTATATTTATAATAGGAAAACATGTTTTGTATAGGAATTACATTTGAAATAAGATCGTTCATTGTAATGATTTTCATTAGTTTATTTAATTGTAAAGAATTGTTATAAATTTAAAAGAATAGAATAGTCCAACTTTTATGTCAACGAGGATTTTTTAATGCTATTCGTATCTGGCTGAAGCATTCCAAAATAAAAATACTTTCTAATCATCAATCTCAGTAGCAGTCGTCTAAAAAACAGGAAAAAACTAATTATCCACAGTAGAAATATGTTGCATGACATTTGTTCATTTTCCAGAAATAAAAATTATCTAGCTACAAGATATGTTGACAAGGACAAGTAAGGCAATAGAGGGTTTTCGAATTATTCTTTGTTCAGAATATGAAATGATCATAATAATACGATTTTGGGCAATAATAAACAATATTACTACTCGAAAAATAGTTTTCAACAATATATCAAAATTGTTTCCCTTGTAAAATATTAAAATTCCCTCAGGTGATAATATGCTTTCATGTTTGACAGATTGTTTATTGCGCAAAACAGAAACATCAAAGGAAAATAAATGAATGAAGGCTTAAATATATATGGAAAAAAAGAAAGAATACTTTAAAGATAGGATAAACATTTAAGACACTAAACAATCGGGTGTTTCTTGACAATTTTTATCACCACTACCAGATGATGCTGATGATGTTGCTGCTTTTTTTTTCATAGATGTTCGTCGTATGAGACTTCGACTACGATTAATACTTTTGTCATTCTTTTCTTCGAATTCTTTTTTTTTAAGTCTTTCACTGACTTTACGTCTCAGTATAGGACTTAATTGTCTTGCTGCTGAAAGTTGTACAAGACTAAGTAGTTTAAGAAATACATCAATGACTGATGCACGATCAAGTGCTGTACATTCAGCTATACGACAATGCAATGGGCCAAGTTCATTCACCATTGTGTGTACTTGTTGTTCTTCAACTTCACGAACAGATGTACGATCTGTTTTATTTCCGACGACAACAATTGGAATTTCAGCATAATTTGATCTTTGTTCTTTTATTTGTTCAATGATTCGACGAATTTCTTCAAATGATGACATACTATCTACACCTAATGTTTTCATTAAAAAAAAAGAATAAACTTAGTTTTCTTGTTTAAATGAACCCTTTACAAATTTACTATAGACAAGTATAAATGCATGTGATGTTGCAATTGACAGACGACGCATGGCAGGAAATTCCATATTACCTAAAATAGATGTTTGAAAATGTTCACTAAAATTATTTATTATTTTTCTTTCAATTTTACCAGCTGTATCCAATATATCAACTTTAATCGTTTTATCATCGACAGTAAATTCTCGATAGTGTAAATCTTCAACAGTTTCTTTATATGTATCCAAAAATTTTCCATTTAAAAACATATGAATTAAAGATGATTTTCCTGTACGACTAGCGCCAAGTAGAACAAGACGATAACGTGTATCTTGATCGGCCATATTTATTGATCTTGAATTATTGAATGACCTTGCTAAAAGATCAGTGTCCTAAATAAATATTAAATTTTTCTTTTTCAAAATATTTTAAACAAAAATTGTAAAAATATTTTTACATTTATTGATCCGTTGCGAAAAGAAGAAATTGTTTCACTATCCATCTTTCTATTTCTATTTCTATGCTACTAACACTATAGAGAAATATATTTATTGAGAAACTAAGTCACTCAAATATCATACAAAATCTTAGTTCTAACTCTTTTATTATAACAAAACGGACGATGACTATAGTTGTCAATGTACAACAATATCGAAGAACCTGATGAATGAACGTGTGACAAAAAAAAGAAAAGAGAAAAAAAAGAAAAGAGAAAAAAAGAACTACTTGTCGAACAATATAGTCGACGCATACACAAGAAAGTGTCGGTAATATGAGGTGCATGCTCGTGTATGGGTTTTGTATATCCATGATCTACTGAAATGAAGAAAAAAAGACATACAAAAACTATTGCGATCGTCATGTAGACAAGATTAATGATCACCAAAACTCGTTTGTTGTAAATTTCGCGATTCAATTTATTATATAATAATCAATAAATACTTGCCTTATTCTATTGTTGATTTTTTTGATAGTAAGTAAAGAACTATCGTTGAGCATAGTAACAAGTAATAGAAGAGGGGAAAAGGAAAAGAAGAATGAAAGAAATGGTTGGAATAGCAATGTGGAAAATAAAAATAGCGAAGCCTAAAATGAATGTTATAAGGAAGCATACTGGTAAACGCTGAAAACAAAAGCGTCGAATGATAAACCTATAAAGCTTTTATCAAAATGCAACGTATGACATACCATTTCCTACCATTTAACAGAACGTAATGAACTCTTTCATCTGCCCACACTGTAAAAAAACAAGGGTTTATGAAAGTCCAACGTGACACATATCATTTTTTCCGTTTTTAAAATATCTGATAAACCCTTTTTCCAAATCATAAACCCAAAACCGTTTATTGCCTTCGTCATATACGGGGAAAAAAGGGTTTTTGATACGCTGCACTTTCATAAACCCGTTTTTGTTAAATACCCCATCAAAAACGGTTTTTCCGTTTATTATTCTGCGGATTTTTTACAGTGAAACATAGTATTTATGTCAATATATAATCATTTTCATTCATCAGAGCTATTTATATGACTGGGAATCTAGATGAATCAAAAGAAATTTACAATAAATATAATTTTCTCTTTTTGTTGTGGATGCCTTGTTAATATTTAATCCTACACAGGCATCTGTTGTTTTACGTTTGACTTTTAATACTTATTCTTGTGTCTACAGAGAGTAAACGATAATTTATATGAAAGAGAACTGAACTATCCTTTCTCCCTTATTTTTAAGTTTAATCATCAAGAAAATTGCATACCCCGTTATTTTGAATATCCATTATTGTTGACGCGAATGTATGTATATTCAAATAATAACAATGTCGATGACTACTGTTGACACGATGTGTTTAGGTGGAATCAAGTTAAAATATTGGCAGTTTATACTCTTGTTGAACACAGATCTAACACAGTAGCATATGTAAAAGAAAGATGAATGAGAAGAAGAACAGAAAGAAACTAATAATAATTGTTATTAAAAAGATCAGTGAAAGATGATAGGAAGAAAAAAATGAATAGAAGAGAAAAGATGATAAAAAAAAAGAAAAAGAAAAAGAAAAAGAAAACACCGTTAAAAAATTCGACGACTACTATTACTGTTAATGCACGACATACGATGAATTGAATTAAATGATGCTGACGACAAAATCGCTGGAGATTTTCAGCTTCTGTCTTGATACACCGATGCATGCGAAATGAAAGCATAGCAATCAAACAACGTACACACATCAAGCATCGCCTTGGGGTTTTACAATGAAAAAAGGAAAAGGATATGGATCGCCTGACAGATGATGCGCACGATAAGACTCTGCCACAGTTAGAAAGGAAGTTGAAGTAGAAAATAGTAAATTAGCAAAGGTAGTTGATTTTCTTCGCTACAAGAATTAATACTATAGAAGAATTACTTGTAGTCTATAATTGGTCCGTCAGTAAGTAAAATGAGAGAAGGAAGTAACTGACAAATAGGTCGACTCAATAGTGATTATGTAGAGATTGATTGCTGAGTATTTCGTTGTATGTCTCTATACATCTATCTTATCAGCGATTAGCGTTCCGCTAAAAGTCTTCATTTCCTTTTCATCCCTTACATGACGCTGACATATATATATATATCATGACAACTAAATAATTGTAAACAAAAAGAAACAAGAATAAAAAAAGAGAAAGTGACTTCTCAAGTATTCTTTGAATCTGCTCTGTGTGAGCCAATTGCTGCATAGTCGTTTATTTCTAGCACATGCGCATGAGTAGTTCTCTTAATATTCACTACTTCTTGTTTTCCATTCTTTTTCACTCGTTTGCTCTTAATATTGTCATCTACATAACGCGCGTATTTCAATGAATATATCCGATCAAATGAATCGATGCACTTCGTCTAATCTTTTTATAGTTTTTATTGTAGCCCATATATTGTACAAGTAGTCTTGGTTCATCTAAACTAGAGATACAATACAAATTTCTGTTGTCACTGATATTGTTTCTAGTTAGTACAAGCATTTTCTTTTTTTTCTCTCCATTGTCTCTTATTTCTTCGTCTCGTATAGCTTATTAATTGGCCATTGGAATCTTTTTTTCATCACTCAACTTGATCCGATACATTTGCCTGACACACGAGCTGAATTCGTCATTCACAGTAATAAGCAAACGTTTCTCGTTTTCCTCCTCTATATATGTCAGTCATAAGAGCTACTTGCTCTCGTGTTCAATTTAATAGCAACTCACGTCACACGAGAAATTTGACGTTCAGAAAATAAGAATAAGAATATATTGCTGCAATCTGAATGTTTCACACGCTATTATGCCTTCATTTTTTTCTACTTGACAAGATCGGTTTTGGAGTGACATTTCTTAAACGACTTGATTTTATAGTTGTTATCTAATAAAAAAAATCTTAATTACCTTTTAGAATTCAAATAAATTTCTAAGTAGGAGTCGAGAGATCATTGTTTTCTTCTGCATTCAAGTCTGATTCTAATTTGATGAACCATTGATAAGACATCATTATAAGACTTTTTTTTATAACAAAACGGCACAAAAAACTCTTGCAAAGAATAAAAATTTTTAGGTGATAAATATTTACAATATCAAGTCAAATGTGATAAGAATATCTTCTTTTTTAAAGTCATGCTCACGAGAAACAGTTTTCAACTTTCATGCAGAAACAAGTCGATATTTGATGGATGATGTGCATGTTTACCTGTACGATTATGAATGATGAATCAGGAAGTTGAGTGATGCCACGTAGCACGCTACTTGTCTACAATGAACAAAAAAAAATCTTTTTATTTTCTTACTGTTTTGACAAGATCTATGATAAAAAAAAATCTGTGTTAACATGTATTCCGGATGTTATTAGTGCTCTTTCATCCACAAAGATCTGTCTACCTTGCAGGCGTCGGAACCGAACGAAGAAGAACATAGCTATTAAGTTTGCTTTTATAGAAAAAAAGAAAAAGAAATGCGGTAAAAGTCACAACTTCTTCCTATCCTATGCCTAGCACCAATGAAGTTGTTGCTGATGTATCGAACGGCATATAAATCAATGTGACATCTCATGCAGTTATGTCGTGAAGCGATTATTTGATTTACTTCTCTTGTTTTCTTTTCTCTCTTTTTTTTATTATGTCAATTCTACTCTGTTTCTACTAGCACCAATGACGATGGGGCGACGATGATGATTGTGTATTGATGTGTACAACATTTACCTTCGTTTTTTTTCTAGATCTTTTTCTCATGTAACTCATGCTTATTCATATTAAAACCGTTTCTGGCAATGTTTGTGCGTATGTAGATAAGGAGCTGTATCTGCTATAACTCAACAACAACAAAAAAAAAACAAGCTGTAAATGGAATGTGAATATTTACGAGCGATGCTACAATCTAGTGAACAGATGCAGATAAGCCACTAAAGATCCATCACGTCAGATCACAAGTGTTCATAAATTTGAACTTCATAATGTTTGATTATCGTTAACAACTTGTTCTTCTATTTAATAGAAAACAAATACATTATGAGAAAATTTACATATGAAATTATTTCTATCAAGAGTCATTGCGATTGCGTAGACAATGCTTTTTTTTCTTCTTATTCTTAGAGTTCATATTCTACAATCATTCTTTGTAATTCGTCATGTAGCTTATTATACTGCATCAACGCGAAAACTAAAAGCGGCAAGTTTATAAGAATTTATTTGTAATATTTAATTCTTTGCACGTATTTACCATCAGTCATAATCACAAGAAAAAACATGCATTTGATTTATAATATGCACATACATAGATATGTCTATGAATGATCGATCAAAATATTTTAATAGAAGCTTTAAAATGACACATGCGGTTTTTCTTTCTCTCAACAATTTTCCATACCGGCAGGATGTCCACATCAAAATCTAGGGAAAAGTTGTGCGATAATGACGCGCTGTTTTAGTCTATATATAGACTTCGTGTAGAATTTCAATGGGTACATTTGATTTAGGCGTCATAAGTTTTTAACAAGAACTATTTTACTCAAGATTTTTAGTTCCAAGAAAAACAACTGAGCATACTTTAGACAAACAAGCAAATATCATCTTCAACATTGATTTGTATCCAATTGATAAAGATTTTGATTGATTTAGAATAGAAATTTAGCACAAAAATGGATGAATAATTGCACAGTTTTGTTTTTACCTTAAGGTTGAATTGTCTAAATATACAAATCAAAACAAAAGAAAATCAATCGATTGGCTATTCATTGAGCCACAATAATAAACAACTTCACTTTTAGCTCATGTACCCACCGGGCTTTCTTTTTGCATGCATGCATGCATGCCCCTATATACATGATCAACTAGTGACACATTGGTTTAATCTGTTAGGTCATCATTCATCCGCTCTCGCTTGCCGACTGAACGCGTCCTGGAGGCTTCATAGGCGAAAAAAAGAAAGAAATTACTTGAGAAAAGAAAAATCAAGCATATGAATGATAATACGTAAAAGAAGCGACTACATATACATTAAAATTTACATCGAAATTTTCTTTACAATCAAATCAATATTCGTTTGTGAATTATAAATGAAAACAACAGTTTTAATAATATTTATAATTCTATTATCAATGGATTGTTCTAATCAATTACGTCTATCAGTAGGAATGTCAAGTGTAACATTTGTGTTCGATGTAACTGGTTCAATGCATGATGATCTTTTACAAGTTATTCAAGGTGCAACACATATATACAATGCAACACTTCGACGAGAAAACTCTATTTATGATTATATTCTGATACCATTTGCTGATCCAGGTTAATCTAATACAGTATGCCAATATTTTTATTATTTTATATTTAGATGTTGGACCAATATTAAAAACTCGTGATTCAAATCGATTTCAACGAGGTTTACAAGATTTAATCGTACAAGGTGGTGGTGATTGTCCAGAAATGACAATAACAGCTATTAAATTAGCTCTTGAACAATCATTACCTAATTCATTTATCTATGTATTTACGGATGCTCGTTCAAAAGATTATTCATTAGGTGATACGGTTTTAAAATTAATTCAAGAAAAACAAAGTCAAGTAAAAGAAAAAGATTTCTTTGCTATGTTCAATTTTTCATCTTGTCTATTCTTTAAATAAATAAAGGTCGTATTCGTTATGACAGGTGATTGTGGTGATCTAGATCACATTGGCTATCAAATATTTCATAAAATAGCTGCTACAAGTAGTGGACAAGTATTTACTTTACATAAACAACAAGTCAGCGAGGTATAGTTGAAGTCAAATTTTTATTTTCAACTGACTGTTTTTTGTTTGTTTTTTGTTTTAATAGATTCTTAATTTTGTTCAACATTCAATTCAAACACGAAAAGTGAATTTATTAGTTGTTGATAAAATCCAACGAAATAAACAAACGTATACATTAGCTGTTGATTCGAAACTTCTTGAATTTACTGTATCAGTGAGTGGTGCTAATCCACAGGTGACATTAATTGATCCATCAAGTAGAGTTTTATTTTTGGTTGATTACTGAATTGAATTTATAAATCTTTTTTTAGATAAAACATTAAATCAACATGTATGGTTTACACGTACTCTACGTTTAAAAGAAGTTTATATATTAAATGTAAAACATCCCACGGTAAATAAAGTTCTCATTTTGATGCAATTATAATTATTTTATAGTACTAAATAAAAATAACTAATCTATTTTTGACTATTTTTTTAATAAAATCGATTAGCATACCAGAATCGATCCAGTCATTGATCTAGATAATGAGATTTCCTAAGTAGTTCGACAGTTTTACTCCTATCATATGTTTAGCTGAGCGAAAATAAAATTCTGAAGTAAATGATAGGTTGTCAAACTTTCATGATGTGTTCTTGTAAGCTTTCAATCACTAGAAAAGAAGAAATTATTTCTGAATTGATGTTTCTTCAACACTAACAATATGAGAAAATTATTAGATTCAATAGAAACATAGTGTTTAGTACGAAGACTCGTCAATTGTTCAAATCATAATTTCTATTTTTGTTCATCTTTCGACATCAGCGGTAAAGTTCAAAGTCATCTTGTTCATATAATTTGATTTCTAGATTGGGGAATGGAAAATTCAAGTCATGTCTTCTTCAGCACATTCAATTCGTATAACAGGCTTAAGTAGACTAACATTTCGATATGGTTTTTCAGCGAATGTTATTACTGATTTAGCTCGAACACGTCGACAACCAATTCAAGGTAGATTTACTTTTCGTATCATAAATATTGACTTTCTTTTGTGTATAAAGGTTGTTTAACTTATTTAACAATCGAAATAAATAGTCCAGATAGTATTCGTAATGCTGAACAAATCGAATTATTAGATTTATTTGGTAATATACTCGTGAATGAAAAAATTCAATCAAACTCTACATATTCAACATTATATTCAACACTGAGAAAATTTGAACCACCAGTTAAAAGTTTCTTCTTTTATATACGAGTAGTTTACATTTTCCTATGGTTTTATTTTCAATAGGGTTTTCTTTTTAAATTCAATTTAGTTATCTGGTATTGATAGTAATGGTCATCGTTTTCAACGTTTAAGTTCAACAGCAGTTGCATCTTATATTGCATTAAAACCAGTTGTTCATGTTGATTCAAATTTTATTCAAATAAAAGCAAATACTTTAAGTAAAATTCAATGTCACGTACAAAGCCAACTTTCATATCACGTTCAATGGTTAAAAAATGGTCAATTGATTTCTATTTCAAATTATTCGTAAGATAAAATTCTTTTGCTTTTTGTGTTTAATTTTGATTTATATTTTAGAGCTCAAATAAATACGATAGAATTATTAATTAATGAACCAACTGAAATGAATGATGAAGGATTATATATATGTAATGTAACAAGTACAAGTGGTTACGATATAGGTGAAATAAATGTAGATGTACTGAGTAAGTTTAGTAGGAAAAAAAAAGAAAAAATGATCTCATTCTTATTTTACTTTTTTTTAATATATTTAATAAATAGTTCCACCGCCACTTGTTCAAATCGCACCATCGCAATCATTATTTACATTAATTAATAGTACTGTTTCAGTCGATTGTATTGTACAAAGTACAAAAGATTATCAATTATCCTGGAAAAAAGAATTATCATCATCTGTATTGATTGAAACATCACAAAATCGAACAATAGTTTTAAATAATGGCACTTTGAAATTAATGTAATCACTGTTGTTCTACTAGAATAATTTCTAATGTATTTTTTTTAACATTTAGTAATATTCAAAAAGTAGACGATGGTTCTGTTTTTGTATGTATTGCACAAAACGAAGGTGGTGAAACGCAGGAGCGTATTACAATACATGTACAAGGTAGAATCTATTATCATCAATGATAATTTAAAATTTATATTGCACTATAGAAAATCCATATGTTTACGTTTACCCACAAACACTTCCGTTTTCAAATCAATGGAATGTAACATTAACCTGTGTTGTTACTGCTGGTATTCCACGTCCGTTATTAATATGGCGACGACAAAATAGTCTAAATCCTATTGAACAATCTGTTAAAATACGAAGTCATAATGGACTTTTGACGATTATGATGGCAACAAAAGATGATGAAGGTATGAGACAAGGATAAAAACATATTTTATATTTGCGTGTAATTTTCTTTTGTTTTAGGTTTTTACGAATGTATTGGAAGTAATACGGCAGGTGAAGATATTAAAACAGCGCAACTTATTTATGCTGGTATATTCTGTTACAATCATTATTTTTTTCTTTTCTTTTTATGTTATGCTTTTGTATTGACAGAACCTCCATTAGTATCAACAGAGAATTCTTATATATTGGTATCACCTGGTCAGGATGTTGATTTGAAATGCAATGTAATAAGTGAAACATATCCTGATATACGTTGGTTTAAAGGAAATGAACCTGTAAGAATTTTTCAATTTCAAAATTGATACTTGATATTATATTTTCTTTTTCAGGTAACTCGTCATCAAACAAGCCCAAGTGGATTGTTGCATGTCAAGTTAGCATCTGAAGAAGAAGATAGTGGTAATTATACATGTTTTGTACAGAATACAGTTGGATCATCATCTACATCAATTCGCCTTGATGTTGGAAGTAAAAATAAATTCGTAGCAATTAAGTTCTTTTGGTCTATGTTTTCTTTTTCAAAGGTAAACCAACGATATATATTCCAGTAAAAGAAGTTCAAGCTGAAATCGATACACAAGTTCAACTTGTTTGTGAAGTAGATGGTTCACCTAAACCTCACATAGTGTAAGGAGAACGTTTTTTCGTGTAAAACAAAAAAGCAGCGATTTTTATTCTTTAGTTGGTATCATAATAATACAGAACGTCAATTTCAAAGTGATGATAGATCTATAATGATTGTCACAAATGTGCAACAAAGTCATGTTGGCACTTATACATGTTTTGCCTCTAATATATTCGGCAATGTCAGTGCTGATATCAATTTGATTGTGACCAGTATGTTAATTGATAATTCAATGTGAATCTATTGAAGTTCTACTTGTTTTCGTCGTAGTGATTCCACGATTTACATTTGAATCTAATGGGTATTTATATGGTATCGTTTCAAAATCATTATTTCTACCTTGTAATCATATTGGTTTACCAAAACCAACTGTCCATTGGCTTAGAGATGATCATGTAAAAGAGGACATTTAATTTAATTGTATTCTTTTGCATTTATGGTCATTTAGATAATGACTTTGGAACATGATCGAATGACCATTGATTCAACAGGTTCATTAACGATTTATTCGTTGAAAACAATAGATCGCGGTTCATATATTTGTGCTCTTTATAATGACATCGGTCAAACAAAACAATTATTTCAAGTTGATGTTTACGGTAAAGATCTATAAAATTATTTTTCAAGTAAACTGATTCTATTGAGAAACACAATCTAAAAGTATGTTCAGATTATAAAGAAACTTGTCCCCAGCTGCAACGACCACTGGATCGTATCAGACACTGCAATATGTTATTAGCAAAAGTTGATTACTTAAATAATGAGTTAACTCGAACTTAGACAATCAATTTCTCAATATTTCGAATTGGGCATAAATAATTAACGAAAAGCATTTTGCAAGATGTAGCAGAAAAAAATGAGTCACACCTTTCGTAAGTTATCGTTCATGACTGGCAGACTAAATAGACAAAACGATCGGTATTTTCATAGAGCTTAACAATTATGTCGATCAGAGACTGGATACTGAGTACAATTACTCAGTATTTTCGTACTTTTTACTTAGAAATCGTAAGTACAAAGTATATTTTAGAAGTACAAGTAAATTTACTTGTACTTCTCGAATGTACTTAAGAACCGATACTTAGTACAAATTTACTTAAGTACAAGTACCAAGTACTGACGTATCGATGATCATATAAATGTTTCAAATGTACTTGGAAATTTTACTTAAGTACCGGTACTCAGTACAAATGTACTCAAGTAATTGTACTTGAGTAAAAGTCCAAAGTACAATTAGTAAGTAACAAGTATTTTCACTTGTACTTGCTGTACTTGTACTTGTTCAGTCTCTGATGTCGATAATGCAGTCTATTTAATTCTCTGACGTAATGCAGTCAACATCTTTAGGATACATCACAACTTGAAGGAAAGTTCAATTGTCGTTCATATTGTTTGCTTCGAAAGAATTAAGCTAACAGCTTTTTTTTCTAAATGAATCAGTAATATACTAAGCTACTTTTTCAAATATAATTGAATTCCAAAACTACGACAACTGACATTGATTGTCAATAATCTAAAAAGCTCTAAGATTAAAATAATGTGTGAGATCATTCTATAATGCTCTCGCTACAAATCTACTAAACAGTAGTAGTTGTTTTTGTTTTTGTTTTTTGAACTTTTTCAATAGAAGTGCTATGTTTGATTTTATTAGAACCGCCAAGTTTGACAAATAATTCTGTAGAAAATGAATTCGATGTAAATATATATATGCCAATCCTTCTTCCTTGTCCACTTACTGGTTATCCTCAACCAAGTATTGCTTGGTACCGACAAAATATGCTAATCAATCGTAAGAACATCTCAGCATAATTAAACATATTATATCATACAGAAATTTCATTTAGATAATGAAAATACAAACATCTATTTACATTCCAATGGCTCATTAGAAATTCTTAAAGTGGATATAACAGATAGTGGTCGATATCACTGTGAAGCAGCAAATCCAGCAGGAACTAGCATTCAATATGTGCGACTTAATGTAAACAGTATGTAATTTCATGATAAAAATTGTTTTTCTTTTCATCATTTGCTACTTTTCAAAGTTCCACCTTCGATGATTGGTGGTGAACAAGAAACTATTGTACAAACTACAGTTGGCAAGTCAATTACATTAATTTGTCCTACTATCGGTACACCAGATCCGATCATAACATGGTTTAAAAATAATAATCAACTTAAAACATTTGATTTAAATAATCAATATGTATTGACAAATATTATACAAACTGACGAAGGTATTTATCGATGTACAGCAACAAATAAAGCCGGTACAACACATCGGATATTTAATGTATCTGTTCATAGTAAGAGATTCTTATTATTTTTTTCTCTCATGTGCTTTTTTTTGTGTTATAAATTTTCTTTTCACAAATAGTGCCTCCATACTTTGAACATAAAACAGAAAATATAAATCGTCTTCAACAAAAATCAATTATATTAAATCATACACTAGCATTATTATGCCCAGCTATAGGTTTACCTGAGCCAAAATTAGTTTGGTTTTATAATGGAAACGAAATTCAGTTAACTAAAAAACATTATTTAATCAGGCAAAATGGAAAAAAATTAATTATAAATAGAATTAAAGTAGAATACGCACTGTTTTTCTTGCAAAAAAAATTATGTTCTTTTTCTCTAGTCTGACGATGAAGGACGCTATATCTGCCAAGCGACAAATACAGTTGGATCTATCGATATCGTTTATGATGTTAATGTTATGAGTAAGAACAAATATTTTTTTTTACTGTACAATAATGTTTTCTCTTTGCTGTTATTAACTAGCTCCTCCAAAATTTACCGAAGAACATAATGGAATATTTGCAACAAAGCAATCATATAGAACTGGAGAATATTTACGTTTGCCATGCACTGCAGAAGGCAAACCAGTACCCATTCGACGATGGTATTTCAATGAAAACAATACCCTCGATTTACAACGTACTCGGTAAATAGAATAGAAATAATATATTTATTCACTAAAAAATTATTTTACAGATTTCCGTACGATGGAGTTTATATGGAAATAGAACACTTAACATTGAATGATGCTGGTCATTATAGTTGTCTAGCTGAAAATGCAGCTGGTCGTGCTGAAAAACATTTCGATATTGATATATCAAGTATATTTCGTTTTGAATATTTTCAATTAAAGTTTCTATTGAAATAATTTTAGCTCATCCGGTATTTAATGATTCATTAACACAAATTAAAATACAAGCATTAATTAATTCAACAGTTAAATTATCTTGCGAAGTCTATGGTGTTCCAAAACCTTCAATTAATTGGTTCTATAATACGAATTTATTAATAGAAAATCAACTAGAAGAACTTAACATTGAACACGTTCAAGTTAGATCATTCATTCTAATTACTATAACGTGGCATTGTTTATTATTTATTTAGATTAATGATGTTGGTATATATGAATGTGTAGCAATAAATAGAGCAGGAGAAATTCGTAAAAGATTTACATTAACAGTATATGGTATTGAAAAGAATTCTTTTCCAAACTAAACATATATATGAGTGAATTGCAACTTTTTGGTACTTTTTGCGTTTTAGCCGTATTTGTCCAGTAACTTTTTTCCTATCAGCCGATTTTGATAATTTTTTCATCAGTTATTGATCCTAGTATGTCCCACTGGCACACAAAATTTCAGCTCTCTAGCTCATACAGTCGCTGAGTTATAAGGAAAACATGACAACAAAATGTTAGTTTTTACTGACACGTGAGGAGAAAAATGAATTTTTGGACTATAGAACAGCAAGAGAAACAATATTTAAATAGGCTATTTTGTACAGCGTTCAGTGCTCTATCGAAGTATATTATGGATTTTAATTTTATACTTCTTTCTTTCGTTCGTCCAACGTTCACATTATTTGACAGGCACTTTGTATTTTTGTGTAGCTTGACACAAACGTGATTACAGCTCGACTACTGATAAAGCTGATGACACAAAGATTATACGAAAGGAAAGACAATTCTTTGAGTAACAAAATGGTAAGAAAAAACTGTGTTGTTACCTTTCCTTATCGATAAAAATAAGAAGACTTTCTGAAAAAAAGGTCATTATACTCACTTTGTAGAATGACAATTTGAAAATTAGATGCTTTATAACTCCTGAACGATTAGTGCGATTAGGCTTAAAATTTTACGCAAGATATAAACTATCAAGGTCTATCAGTGATAAAAATTTCAGCCCTCAATCATTTTCTCTTCTGGTGAAATTTACATTATACTGAGAAATGTAGAATGACAATTTCAAGAAAAGTATGTAGAATAACAATTTTTCTGGAATATTTTCAGTACCGCTCATTCAAAATTTTTTTTTCGATGTAGTTAAGTGAGAAGCGATCATAGAGTATCATTTGGGAAAAAAATGATGACCTCAAAAGCGAAAATGTTGCAGATGTGGACGGTTTTTTCGAAAAAATTTATTCAGCATAAACATAAAAAAGCGCACTATTGTCTAGTTTCCATTTTTATTCAAAAATTCGTACCTAGCACGAATTAGGACATGGTTCCAGATAGAGTCGTCAACGTGGTTCTCCATAAAAATGAAAATTTTTTTTCGAAATTGCCGTACTCCCCTCCAGGGTTGCAGGTGGATTAAAAAAAGAATTTCTTTTTCCGTGCCAACTGCATCGACCATTCCATCTATGATCATGTACTGATTTCTGCTATATATAAATTTTGAACTTTCAAATGTGACTGTTTTCGCATGGAATCACCCACAAGTAGAAAAACTCATATATTTATAAAAGGGCCATATCTCCGTTAATAATCGATCAAGTGTTGGGAATTTGTTTTTGTGTACTACTGGCATAGATTGTGATCAAATGCACTACTCAACAATTGTATAGGTTTACTTTCATCTGTTCGCGTGAATTGTGCCAAAAAATTGCAATTCCCTCATATATATTTATATATATATATTATTATTATTATTATACGTTACTCTACTTTCTTAGCACCGCCATCAATCCATTCAAACAATGAAACGATTCGCATTATAATTCGTCGTAATGAAAGTTTAACACTCGATTGTCCAGCCAGTGGACATCCAACACCAACAACTCGTTGGTTAGTACCTGAATTGAAATTTCTATATAAATATTTCTTTAAATTTTGACATAGGTATAAAAATGAAATAGAATTATACAGATTCGACCAAGAATTATTCATAAAATTCATCGATAGACAAGATACTGGACTTTATTCATGTATTGTCTCGAATAATGTTGGTACAGATCGACGATATTTTAATATTATTGTGTCTGGTGAATAGGATTAGTTGAATTATAGTAATTAATGTTTTAGTAATAATTATTTTATAAATAGGTCCACCAGAAATCTTACGCAGCCATATAAATCTTCATCCAACTGTGGTTCGAGGTTCTTCAGTAACACTTTCATGTCCATATACTACGGAACGATCTTCACTAATATCAATAACAAACACAACATGGATTCCTCCTTCATTTAAACGTGAACATGAACAAACTCGTTATTCACTAAAATTAAATGAAAATCAATTAGTAATATCAAATGTACAATTAGAAGATGGCCAAGCATGGAAATGCATTGTTGCTAATGAATACGGTTTTGATTCAATTGAAATTCAACCAGAAATTCTTGGTAATTTAAATACATAAATTTATTTATTTAATAGACTTCTATTCTTAAATTTTAAATTTCAGTACCACCTGAAATATTAAATGACGATACAGAAGAATTATTACAAGTTGAAAATAATAATACAGTTAAATTACTATGTCAAACATTTGCTCATCCCATAGCACGTATTGAGTGGCGTAAAAATGGACATCCAATTGACTCAAATAAATATGTTACGTATGTTCCATCGTGTTTTTGATAAAACAAAAGCACGAATTATTATTTTTGTTGTTCTAGAATAAAAAATAATCATTCTGAAATTCTGCAAATTTTTATCAATGATGAACGTGATGGTGGTACATACACATGTGTGGCATCGAATTCAATTGGTAAAAGTGAAAAACATTTTTTTGTTGATATATTTTTACCTCCAACATTTGATTATGCATCAACAAATCGTCATAAAACTCAAATAAATCGTACTTATACATTACCATGTCTGGTTAAAGGTATACCACGACCAACAATACAATGGTTAAAAAATGGCAAGAAATTTTATATTGATGTAAATTAATAAACTCTTCGGTTTTCCTTCAATTGCAAAAACTCATATTGTTTTTGGCTTTTAGAATAAACATATTCAATTATTTCGAGATGATCAATATCTTGAAATTCGAAATGTTAACGAACAAGATGCTGGAGGTTATACATGTTTAGCTGAAAATTTAGCAGGCAAAGCTAAGCAAAGTCTGGAATTGCATGTATTAGGTAGTTTTATTTTAAATTTTGTATACAAAATAACACTATCAGAATAACCAATAATATATTAATAAACTGTTTTTTCTTTAGTCCCACCACGCATTGAAGATGACATAACAAATATAGAAGTTATTTTTAATTCCACTTTTAATTTAACATGTTCAGCATATGGAAACCCAAAACCGACAGTAAGATGAATAATAATGGAAAATTTCTCATTATAAAAGTGATTTGTTTCGTTTTAGATTGTGTGGTATAAAGAAGGCCAACATTTACAATATGGTAATCATTATTTAACCATCGTACTGCCATCTATGAAAAATGATGCTCGAATATTTTATACATGTATTGCTTCGAATGAAGCTGGAAGTGCAGAACAACACTATCGTATTAATCTTCTAGGTATATTTTTCGACTCGAATCCTGTCTTCTATGCAGAAGATCAACCTGTATCGTATCGTATTAGTGTCTGATCTATTTTGTTTTAAATATGACAGTTGATATTATGCAAATTTCTGTTGAGAGACGTAACTACTAATTCTATGCAGCAGTCTGGCAGTCTATATCGAATAATTTGATTTAAATACCTTGAAACTAAAATTTTACGACAAAGAAAAAGTTATTTGTATTATCTTGAATTTTTTATGAAGAAAACATAAGCAGAGAAGTTTGAATCCGATAAATTTATTTATTAGATTTCGATAGGTATCTCAAAGATTGAGAATGAATGTAATATTTTACTTTTGTGATATAGTTAGATCTATTAGGGACGACACCAGCTATGATAAAAAATGGTTTCATTCTTGTGCCAATAGTAAATGAAGATTTGTCATAAATATAGCATAGAATGTCACAGACTACAAATGAAAATGACAGAAAAGTATAGTTAATTATAGTTGAGTCAAAGAAATATCATGACCTAAATCGTTTTTTAAGATGTCTCTTAGTTCGATAGAAAACTAAGCAGAACATATAATTGAACAATCTCGAATAGTTTACTCATTATTACTAATCAGAAATTATATAACATACTTTCCTTTTTTCGAAAATTATATCTATTTAGTTCCTCCTTCAATTGATTCAGTAGCCATAACTCCAACGTCAACACCAATCGCTGGTAATCATTTTACTCTAGAATGTAATGCTAATGGTATACCTGAACCGATTATTTCCTGGCATTTTAAAAAGTAATATGATGAATTCAATCAGTAACTTGACAACAATTTTTTGGATATTTTCTAGTCGTCAGTTATCATCAGGACGTAATCGATATTATCAAATAATTCGTGCTTCATTAAATGATAGTGGTTTGTATACATGCTTAGCTGAAAATAAAATTGGCATTACAAAAAAAAATATCCATATTGATGTTCTATGTAATAATGTTCAAAGATCAATTTTTGAATAAGATCATATTTCTTTTGTTCTTGTTCTAGTACCACCATCGATTGTTAACAATGGTCAACTAGTAAATGAGATAACTATCGTGAAAGGTGAATCGCTTGTTTTAACTTGTTTACTTCGTGCTGTTCCTTTACCAACTATTATTTGGACAAAAAATAATCAAATATTGTTTGATACAGCAAGGTTTTTGAACGATATTAACTGTTTTATTGTTTGAAATTACTTTTTAATTAATTTAGAATTTCAATGACAGATAATGATTTTCAATTGCATATTGAAAATATTTCATTGAATGATCGTGGTAGTTATCAATGTCAAGCAGAAAATCTAGCTGGTCGTTCTCAACAAATATTCGATGTACAAGTTTACAGTAAATATCACGATAGAAATATGATAATAAAATGAAATTCTACTTTTTATTTTGCCTGTTGAAGTACCACCAGAAATTCATCTTTCAAATATTAATCTTAATCCATATGTGATTCTTGGAAAAAATATCATTTTATCATGTTCTGGATTTGGAGTCCCGGAGATAAATTATCAATGGTTCAAAGATGAAAGAAGTCTATTAGAATCTCATTCATATGCAAGGTTGGCCAATGTTTAATTACATTATTATTCTTTTAACAAGATTTGTTGTTTTTCTCTCTATGCCTAGATTATTAGAAAATGGAGCTAGATTACAAATTGATACAGCACATTCATCAGATGCAGGCCTTTATTCATGTCAAATGTCAAATATTGCTGGGCAAGTAAATCTGACATATCAATTAGATGTTTTTAGTAAGACATATATATTTATTTGCAAAATAACAAAAAGACTAAACTTATATTAAACGCATATTAGTACCACCGACGATTGATCGATCGAATTTAGTTGAAACATATCAAATTAAATTTAATCAAACGGCTCGTCTTGAATGCCCAATGTATGGAAAACCTGAACCGCATATAATGTGGTTCATTAATGAAAGAGATTTGAATAGGAATAATGGTAAATTTTAAAGCCAAACTATAATTTCGAAAAAAAAAACTTATTTTGTTTGTATTCTTTTTTAAACACAGATCGATATGAATTAATGGATGACAACAGAGTATTAGTTATTCATTCAGTTAATCTAAATGACAATGCGCGTTATACGTGCATTGGAACAAATATTGCTGGAGAACTTTCAAATCATATTGATTTACAAATATTTGGTATAATTAATTTGTGATTCTATTGTATTTTAATAATTTAATTTAGTTCCACCAACTATACAGCGTGATCCAACTGTGGATAGTGTGAATGTTATTCAAAATCATCATATTGCATTAACTTGCAAAGCAAATGGTTGAAATATTGCTGAGAAAAAGGGATTTTTCTTTGAACGATTGTTCTCTTTTCTAGGTGATCCATCTCCGTCAGTATCATGGGAAAAAGATGGTCTTCCTGTTGATACAGTGAATTCACGCTATAGGTAGCTAATGCAAAAGAAAAATAGATAGAGCATGTCTTTAACAAGGTTTGTACTATTTTGGTGTCTTCCAGAATTGGACCAGCTGGTTTTCAATTGCTCATTATTCAAGCTGAGCCATCTCAAGCAGGACTTTATACTTGTCTTGCGTATAGTAAAGCTGGTGAAGCAAAAGAACAATTTCGTTTAATAGTATTAGGTATTGAAATATATTTTTAGAATGATTTTCTTTTTTGTTCTAAAGAACAAAAAGTTGAGATTTTCTTTTGTTTATAGTTCCTCCACGAATTCAACGAGAAAATACATCATTTCTTGTCGTAGCTCCAAAACCTATCGAACTTCCATGTAATGTTATACAAGGTCATCCAACACCAATCGTTAAGTATGAAAACATATACCACATTGTTTCAAAAAAAGAAAAAATAATATTAATATTTTACTTTATTTATTTATTTATTTAGATGGTTTCATGATGATATCGAATTAGAAGTGTCCGACGGTAATATCAATTTAAAATATATAATATCATCATCGAATAGTTTACTTCTCCTTCATACATCAAAATATGATGATGGAAAATATCAATGTATGATAACAAATGAAGCTGGACATGATAGTATAGACTTACATCTTGATATATACGGTAATATTTATTTAATATTTCCTTATCATCAACTCTTTTGTTCTCATTCTTTTTCAAAATACTTCCTGAACAAAGTAAACAGCAATCTTCTTTTCTCTTCCGTTTCATTTCACACTTTTATTTTTCTCATTGATATAGCGTCGTTTTACACTTGAAATAATGTTTTTCCTTTTCTTACTCTATATCAGTTCCACCAGCAGTCATGGTAGAAAGCAATGAAATTATTGGTATTGCCAACAAACCTATTACACTCAATTGCCATGCTGATGGATATCCATTACCTGTCGTATACTGGACAAAAGCAGGTCGTTCGATCGATAGTCAACCAGGTGAGAGTAAAACGAAAACCAAGCATAAGATGCGAGTGTAATATCATAGAATACTAAACTTTATGTCTTTCCAATAGAAACCCTTATGAACAGGAAATTATTTTGTTTGTCCATAAGAAATACTCTATGTTAAACTTTATGAAACTCATTTTTGTCTTGCATATTTGAATAGAATCATCCAAAAAACAAGAACGAAATAGAAACTAAGGAATTGAAAAATTTCCCGCAAACTGGAAACATTTAACGTTCAATTTTCCTTACGTTTCTTCGATACTCGTGTCCAGACATAGCTCTTTTTCTTCATCGATTGATAGAAGTTTTGACTTTTCCCCGAATAATACTGAATTGAGTCCCGAAATATAAGTAAGAGGAGAACAAAGAAAATACTGACATACTTATTTAGAAATATGAGTATCAATTCATGAGAAAATGCAATTTTATAAATTTGACATTCGGCTTTAATAAAAATAGGTTTGTAGAAGTTTTTTTTAAAATAAGAAATGAGCTAATGATTAACTTTTCAAAACGTTTTGTTGATGGCTTAATAAAAATCAAATTAATTATCATCCACAAAGGTTGCTGTGCAAGTTTATATAAAAACTGCAATTTTAATGTGTAAGTGTCTTCATCTTCTCGTGTTATTTCTTCTATTTGCCTATGATTAAAATAAACCACATGCTATCTGAAGAAAGTAAGAAAAAATCTTCATCGAATATTATAAAATGTCTTTCATAAACATGCTCACCGGTGGAATTTCTTCCATTGACGTACTATGGCATTAGTCTTGCATCGTATTTTAAAAAGACAGATAAAGAACAAAGCACACAGCATTAGGGATCCATTATGTAAATTGGTTTTATTTTGCTTCATCACACAACAGTTTATTCTATGCTTACTAAATGCCTCTTATATATGATTTACTTTCATTTTTTATCTTGATAGGCTTTCAGACTTTAAACAATGGCTCATTAAGAATTCATCATTTACGAGTTCAAGATACGGGCTACTATTTATGTTGGGCAGAAAATCTTGTTCAACGTACTTATGCACAGATTCGATTAGAAGTTCAAGGTATTGCAATTTTTTATTTTAATTGGCTAATGATGAATTTTAGGAAATTAAATCTTTTTAGTTCCGCCATCGATTGATCAAATAGAAAGATATTATAGCGGTACTGTGGGTCAATCAATAAAATTATCTTGTCAAGCTAATGGTATTCCTATTCCAACAATTACTTGGCACGGCGTATATAATGTATCAGGGACGGCTTCAATTGATTCTTTTGGGAATTTATATATAAGCCAACTTGAGTAAGTCAATCATGGAAATGAATGAAAATGAATATTTAAATTATCTTAAATTTTAAACAGAAGATATCATGAAGGCGAAATAATATGTTATGCACAAAATACGATTGGTCAAACATCGAAAACATTTACTCTTGTGGTTCTTGATCATGAAACAACTACAGCAACAGAAATAGCAATAATTGAGTATGAGTCCATTTCAAGTAAATAATTTTTTTTCTTTTCTTATGAGTACTGCCTATTTTAAGCGATAATTTTTAATCCTATAGAGAAAAAACTCAGTTCATTTGTTTGTTTCTATTTGGCAAAGCGAAGAAATTGTCGATCTCTTTTCATTCATTTTTGTGATATTTTTAGAACAAAGACTTTTTCTGATAATATCACCCAATAATTTAATTGTTGATTATGGTGATACATTAGAATTAATCTGTCAAACAAATTCAATTAAGCCATTTGATATTCAATGGTTACATAATGGTCATCTAGTAGACCGTAGTAACTATTTAGTATATTCATATGATAGAAGTTTTCTACAAATAACAAAAGCTATTGATGAACATACTGGAATCTATCAATGTTTTTTAAATGATTCATTGAACCAACAATTTATCATGTCAATGCCTATAACAGTTACTGTTCGTCGTAAGTTATTTTTTACTTTTTAAAGATTTATGATAATATAAATGTTTATTTTTATGTTTAGCTCATCCGAATAGTCAACATCGTGCAATAATAGCAGGTCATCGTTTAATTCTTTCATGTGAAATTGGAATCGCAGACGATGTTCATTTTCTTGGTACAATTGAATGGTTTCATAATGGATCACCACTAAAACATGATTCATTCAATCGAAATAGAATTGATTATAGAAATGGAACATTAATTATTGATCAAGCATCAGTAAAATACTTCATATAAAATTTTCATTTATAATTTGTTTTTGTATTCTGTACATATATATTTATTTACTTATTTAGGGTTCTGATTCAGGCGTCTATAAATGTGTATTTGAGGGTGATAATGGAACTCGATTGGAATCCTATCGTTCAGTCAACATTCTAAGTAAAAAACCTACTCCCCATATTGATTTTCTTCTGCCTGTTCGTCTTTTTTTGTTCTTTTAATTTTCAAACTTATTAATTTCCATTTCTTTTCTTCTTTTTTTTCCAATACCTCTATCGTTTCCGATTTATGTATACATATTCTATTTGTTCATGTTTAGCGCAACCTACGTTTACAATTAAATTGCCTCGCTCAACAGTACGACCTGTCAATGGTTCGATGCTTATGCTCAATTGTCTTGCCGATGCATGGCCTGAGCCAACATTAAAATGGACAAAAAATGGAGCTATTCTTACAGAAATTGATGGTGTACGACTACAATTATTACCGAATAACTCATTGAAGTGAAAAATTGATTAATGAAAATAATTTTTCATTACATGCGACTCTTATTTTTAATTATTAGAATTGATCCAGTAGAAGTATCTGATACGGGACGTTATACATGTTCAGCTGAAAATGCACTCGGTACTGCAACAACTACGTGTGATGTTATTGTTTATGAAGGTAAATTAAGTTTCACATATTTTTCTTTCATGTGGCAGATGAAAGAAAAACAATCCTATAAATCTAAATTCAACTCAGGAGATTCAATCCGACCAGTGGATCCGATCGTTTCTGGCATCGGATCCTATGGATTCCGTTGCTTTTCGACCGGCTCCGTTGAGTTCCGACGATTTCCTAACTAACGGATCCCGGTTCGCTTTCCGCCGGAAAAATTCCGTTAAGTTCCGCAAAATTTCGACCCGGAATTCGTCGGAAATCGACGGAAC